CTTAAAATATTTATCTTTTCACAAGTACTAAAAAGAATCAAATTCGTATCAAAATCTTTAAATAAGATTTATATCACAGAGTAAATTTATTAGCTCTATTTCCAAATTTTCTGAAGAATTAAGTTCATTTTTGGTAATGAATATAAAGCAAAACTAAACTCCAGACCATTAAAATCTTAAACATTTTCTTTAAATTCTTGTCATAACAATGTTAATTAATTTAGGGAAAATGCACAGGCAGCATAAAATTACTTCAAAGGCCACCAGTTTGACTTTGACACCACATTATTAGAAAACACTTTATGTGATTAAGATTAATTTGGGATGTCTAATTTTAACTACATACAGTCAAAAGTCGTTAATCCGGACTCGTCGGGACTTCGGCGATTCCGGATTATCGATTTTTCCGGTTATAGAGCATCATTTAAATCTCGTAAGAGGCCTGCAGAAATTCTAAAATTAAAAATATGAAACCGTAATTTATGAAATAAGAACAATTATGATCTAAAGGGTATCAAAATTTACAAAAAAAAGCTTAATATTTTTTGTTACTTTATTAAAATTTCTTTCATGTAAGTGTTTAAGTTGCTTCGTTTTTATGTGATAATCTTTTCTCTTTAATTCTATAAACAGAATAATTTCTTGTTCAGTTACAAAATTCCACTGTTCAAGTCCTATAATTGCTGTGTCAAGAATACCGACTAATTTGTCATCGAATTTTTTCGCTTCAATAACCTCTCTGTCACATTCTTCATGTCTTTATCATTTTTTGCAGCAATTCCACTTTTGTTGTTGGACATCGAAACATACTTTCGTTTTGTAGATCCTTTGGAAGTTCCAGCATCGGAATTCTATTGACATAATCGAAAGCTCAAGTTTACTTTATAAAATTGCTCTTACAGTCTGCAAAAAATAATAAGCGGGATCCAATTCGAAGATTAAGGAACAACGCAATCATTAACATTAACTGAAATAGATAATTGATAATTCCGTTATACATTAAACGCGCAGATGAAAATGTATTCTGCACTTGCGCACACGCATATGCGCAGTAGTCAAGGTCTTACGGGCACACGTAAAACGCCTGTGCGCATGTGCCAACGCGGCGCATGCGCAGAAAGTTTTCAGCTTTGAGGTCCGGATTATAGATCATTCCGTATTATGGGTGTCCGAATTAACGACTTTTAACTGTACTAGTTTTAAATTACCAGTTACTGTTAATGGTTTTAAACAGGCAAAGTTAGAGCAGATGCAACATAGTGATAACAGACTACTTCCTGTTAACGCCCCCTACGAGGAGTCTACAAAGGAATAAGCTCTTCTATTTAGCTCTGCCTCATTGCGAAAACATTATCATGGGCTTTCACCCGTTTTTTTTTTTTTTTTTTTTTTAGTATTTTCTCAACTTTTACAAGATCTTTTATATATGAGACCAAAATATTAGTAGATAATGAGTCTGTATATATATTAATACAGTCAAAAGTCGTTAATCCGGACTCGTTGGGACTTCGGCGATTCCGGATTATAGATCATCAGTTTAAATCTGGTAAGATGGCAGCAGAAGAAATTAGAAATTAAAAATATGAAACCGTAATTTATAAAATAAAGAACAATTATGATCTAAAAGGTATCAAAATTACAAAAAAAAGCTTAATATTTATTTGTTACTTTTTAAACACTTCTTTCAATGTTAGTTGGAAGTTGCTTCATTTTTATGTGATAATACATTCTCTTAATTCTTTAAACAGACATAATTTCCTTGTTTAGTTACAAAATTCCGCTGTTCAAGTCCTATAATTGCTGTGTCGAGAATACCGACTAATTTGTCAATTGAAATTTTTTCGTTTTCAATAACCTCTGTTACTTCTTCGCTATCGGAAGCGAATTATAATACGAGGAATTTGATTTAAAATCATATCAAAGATGGAGTACATTGAGATGAAATACTACATTTAATAAGGAATTATAAGCCAAATAAATAAAAAATTCTGCCTGAAAAAGGATGTGCTGACAGATAACTTCACCAATTCATTGGCGGCGGCACCGCGGCATTAACAAAGTTTAGATAAACAAACGTTAAAGTTTGATAAACAAGGATATGCCTTTATCCATTTTTTTGTAGCAATTCCACTTTTTGTTTAATGAACTTCGAAACATACTTTCGCTTTGTACATCATTTACATATTAATAAATATATATCAGAAATTCTATTTGACATAATCGAAAGTTCAAGCTTACTTTTATAAAATTGCTCTAACAGTCTGCAAAAAATAATAAGCTGGATCCAATTCGAAGATTAAGGAACAACGCAATCTGCAACATTAACTGAAATAGATAATTAAATAATTTTAGCTTAGCTTATACCGTCCATTATACATTAAACGCACACTCTTAAACGTATTTTCGCACGTGCACAAGCACATTTTCAGCCGTAAAGGCCTTACGCGCATGCGTCAACGCGACGCATGCGCAGAAAGTTTGAAGCTTTGAGGTCCGGATTATGGGTGTCCGAATTAACAACTTTTGACTGTATATGTTTTTACAGTCAGACTTTCATCAATCCATTTAAACAGCAAATATAATAGCAGCCAATTTGGCTTAAAAAATGATTTGTAAGGTTGAAGTCTAATTTTGCCATAGTCTATTTCTGTACCAAATAAGTAAACCACATATGCTGAACCAATTCTATTGTCATAACCCAAAACATCAATTCTCCTATGCAAACATCTGGTCTCTGGTATTCCACTGCTAATCTTAATGCAGGATGTATACTGTTAATATTAAAGACAGAAAAACATGCATTATACACAGCAAAACCTCTGCAAGTAATCAAATAAATATTTTGTGAATGTAATTTATCATAAAAAAAAAGAAGAAAATATCAAGAGGGGCAGCATACCGGCCAATATGCAAATGATTTCTATTGAGACTGTTTTAAAGCATCTGGTCAGAAGCAGCAGCCAGGGTCGTTGTATTATATCTGTATTATATTTGCTGCAGGTCCACGGCCTTGGAACCCAAAGCCCCAACACCATATAATATAATGGGAATAATAACTCTTTTGTAAATTAATCTAATAATGTTACTTTTCAGTACTAATAACTCAGCTGAGAAAATTCTTTTATAAATATTACTAAAATGTTCTTCAAAATTCAGTTTACAATTGGGGGGGGGGGAACAAACCAAAAAAAAAAAAAAAAAAGACATTTAAGGCTTTCAACACATTTAATTCTAACACCTTCATACCTTCATATTTTAGTTGTGGTAGTCAAGTCCCCTCCCCAACCCTTTGGGTAAAACAAGAAATGATCTGGGGATGTATGACATCAAATGATCTGGGTGATATTTGTGTAATTAATGAGGCTATAAATGCCCCATAATATGCAAAGAAATACTTGAGCCCTAACTTAAATCTTTCACACATGAATGTTTTGAATGGGATTTAACTTCCTGTCATGTTGCTGCTGTGTATAATATCAGACTTCAAGATAATCATACTCTACTGTTGAAATAGTCTAGGAATATTCCAGACCTATCTATGCCATTGAATAAAGGAACAGACAGGCAGGAAAAAAATTCTTGATTTCACATTATAATAGTTGTAGAGCTAAAATATTTTGGTCAGTCAATAGGAAAGCATTGTAATGCCATTTAATGCAAAAGGTTACCCTATTAAGTATTAACTGACATGATGAGAATTTTTTCATATATCATTTTCTTAGTGTTTCAATTCTCTTCTTTACAATTGCTGTTTTCATAAAAAACTGTTCTGTTCACTGTTTCTTCATTAGTCAATTTTCAATTTTCTTTAGTGGCGTACATTCTCGATTAAATTACATTTCCATTGATTCACAATTTATAATATTACTAAAAAATGGTATTATGACATATCAAACCTACAAAATATACTTTTCCCAAAAGGTTTTTACAATTTTGCCCACTAGTAAGAAAAGATGTAATATATAATTACAGGTTTCTCAAACAGTTAAGAATAAAAATTTAAAGAAAATGTTTACTTAATAAAGCATAAAAACATAGATTTTTAATTAAGCATACACATGCTGATCAATATGAAATGCTTTTTTAAAACAAGCATGCTTATTTAAGTAACGGCATATATAGTTTTTTAATTGCTTGCTTTGTTCATTTTTAAGTTAAAGAATAAATAAAAACAAGCAATCTATTTTTTAATATTACAAAACTTAATAACAATGCAGACTTTCTGAAAAAGGACTGAAAGAAAAAAAATTGATTTAATCTTATAAACAAACATCACTACTAATTCATGAAATTTCATAATGATTGAAATGTAGAAAAGAAATTGGATAATTACAACAAAATGAAAAATTAAAGAAATTATTAAAATATTTCAACAACTATAATAAAATTACTATTATGTAAAAATCTTGTATGTTAACCCATTGCACTACCTCAAACTTCAAAGGTTTTGCATTCAAAGTGCATACAATACTGCATATTCTATATGCAAAAAAGAAAGCATTTCTGAATGTTTTACAGTCACACATTTTTCATATGAATTCTCCAAAGTCACACTATACATGAAAATAAAATTTAAAAAAAAAAAAAAAAAAAAAAAAAAAAAATCTTATTATTTACTTATTAAATTAGGTGAATTTAGTTTTTTTTAAATGATTTGCATGTAAAATCATTAGTACTAAAAACACAAAATAAACGTAATTACATGTGTTCTTAAGTTTTATGCAAAAAGAAAAAAATTTAAGTTGTTTATAAATGTCAAAAATGTGTTGCAGATTCTTATACAGGAGCATCAATAAAAGTTTCAACTAAGAAAATTAATAACAGTTTGAAATAAACTACATCAAAACAATGTTACCTTCTGTAAGATTTTAGATGATTACAAAATTTTCCACTGGTTTATAATGAATATTTATTTGAAATGTTTTATTTCAATATTTATTTTAAAACAGTATTACCACTCAATTTTGAAGTTACATCCAAGGAAAAGACACAGACTAGAATTTCATAGGAACATGAAATTTAACAGAATTTTTTTTAATGACAATGAAATAAAACAAAGTATATACATGTAACAATAATTTATATGAATGAATAGTATCTTATTTTCAAGATCAAACAACCACTTGGAAAACATGACTCATAGTGGAATTCATAATATATGCAACATCTGATCTACAATATAAAAATACTGCTCTAAATAGATGCTATAAAAATATGAAATATTTAAAATCATGGAAGTGGCTGACAAGATTGAGCTGCATATTCAGTGCCAATTAGGCCCCTACAGAGGAGGCTAAACTCAGTTACAGTTTCTTTTAATCTTCGTTTGTTTGTTCTTTCCCTAAAGATAAGTAAAAAAGACATACAGTCACAGTAATATATATATGTGTGTGCATGTATATACACATATTATTACCATTATTTATTTTAAAACAGTATTATCACTCAATTTTGAAGTTACATCCAAGGAAAAGACACACACTAGGATTTCATAGGAACATGAGAATATATATTATGTTATATGTTAATACAAATTGGGGGGGTAGGAATAATTCACAGTGAAGAACTAAAAAAGAGAAATAAAATATATACAAATTGCTTTTAATAACTAAACCATTAAATTTTGATTTCAGGTTAAGTTAAAAACACATGAATATAATTAAATATGCAAAAGAAATTCTCACATGGAAGTTTTCCCACATAAAAAGATAGTTTTTTAAATTTCCAAAAGTCAAAACCTGTATATAAATTCTTCCAAGATATGAAGTTCTGAATCAGTTTAATAAAATTTCCCCCAGAAGTATCATTTAGTGACACAAATAATATGTATTTTTATGAAAAGTTTTTATAGATTTGTACAAAAAGCTCCAAATATAAGTAACATAGGTTCCCACTTTGGACATTTATTTTTGAAAGGCATCAGCTACATTGTTTTCACAAATGACAGAAGTGTATTTTGCTTAGAATTATTCATATGTTTAATTTATACTGGCTGTTCAAAATGCTAGAGCTAGGCCAGAAGATATGTATACATTTTCTTATTTTTAACATTTCATTTCCTTTGGGGATGAAAACTCTTTTCAGTTAACTAACCAATCTCTTGCTGATTATGAATTTATACTATGATATGAATAAACTACTCACATAATCAAAAAATGAAAGTTACAGCAGATTTCAGTAAATTTCCAGTTGGTACAGCAGATATAACTTGCGAAATTATGTCCAGTTTACATTAGTTAATTAAATAAAATAAATCAACATTTGTGTGTTAATATCACGCTGGCATGTTTAATCATATTTTTTCAACCAATTTTTTGCATTTGAAAGAAAGAGACTTTAGAATACTGCGTTGTGAAATAAAAAATAATAATAATAATAATAATAATAATAATAATTAATAAATAAATAAAAATTTAAAAAAATCACTATCATTAAGTAAAAGGTGTCTGAAATGGAACTATCACATTACCAGATTAGAACCATCATTTACTTTCAGTTCTGTTGCAAAAAGTCAGATACAAAATTTCATCAAATCATGTGTATAGCTTAAGGTACTAATGTTGTATCATATGACACTGTGAAGGTTTGGTACTGAGAGTTAAAAAACAAGGACTATGACATTCAAGACGTGGCTGGCCTACTAATGTTGAGGCTAATGTAAGGCTTCCCTGCAAGAACTTGTGAAAGAAGATCAATATGCAACCACTTGACAGCTTGCTAAGGAGTTAAACATTAGTGCCATGTCCATTAGTCATGGTATGCATCGCACACACTTGATGTATAACTTTAATTGCTGGGTGCCGCACGAGCTACAGATAAGGACAAACATATTTGGGACTGCACTAGTCTGCTCATATATCTATGCAAGGACAAAATTCTGGACTGAATTGTCACTGGTAATGAAAAGTGGATTTACTTCCAACACCACATGTCAAAAAGGGTTGGTCTACACCCAGTGTGCCAGTCGGTAGCATTGCAAAGTGCAATTTGACAAAAAAAAAAAGATCATGCTTTTTGTATTTGGTGAGACTGCCATGATATTATTCACAAAGAGTATCTGGAAAAAGGTAAAACCCTTAACAGTCAGAGAGAAGGTCATCCGTGTTGACGCTGCTATCAAGGGAAAATGTAGAACTGAGTTCCGGGGCAAAAAGGAATCGCTCCATCAAGATAATGCAAGACCATATGTGTCTGCATCCACTGGCTGGACTCTGTATGGACTCGAATGGGATCTTTTGCCACACCCACCACCTAGCCTTAATATCGCTCCTTTGAAATTCTACCTCTTTCCGCACCTGCTGCTACATCTTGTTGGTGCTACCTTCCATTCTGCACAGGACGTCCAAAATGAAGTTGATCTGTTTTTGGACTTGCAGCCACCAATTTCTGGGCTGAAGGCTTTGGAAAACTACCAAAACGTTGGCAAAAAATTATAGATTTGGGTAGTGGTTAGTACCCGTACTAAAAGTGCTGTTTTCATGTTTTTTTTAAAAACTTTATTAAGAATGTTTTTTGGAAGAAAACTTTTGTTACAACCAGATATATGCTCAAATATTTAAGAAATGTTACTTCATATGTATAATTAATTTCTAAAAATACACCCCAGAATTTTCTCTAAAATTTAAAGACGATAAAAGACTTTTTAAACTTACTTCAGTACTATTCGAGTAAATTCTTCTTTTTGTTGCTGACTAACTCTGTATGATGGAAAGCCTTCTTGTTGAATAAAAGGCACCATCCACCGACATAAGTTATCAAAATATTTCTTGTTAAGACCCATAAGAATATCTGGCATGTATTCCACAACTGATCTTGGAGTATCTCCACCTATAACCTGCAAACATAATTTTTACGTTTAAAATAATTTCAACAAAGTAAAAATTTTCATCATGAAATTTTTAAAATTACTTTTAAAATCAAAATGCAATTTAAAGCAATGATTACTTTAAAATGCAATGAGACTTTTATGTTTGCCAAAACAGATGTAAGTGATCAAAATAGTTCTTATTAAGAGCAATAAAGAGTTATCTGCATGAATTCTACAACTAATCTAGAAGTATCTTCACTTTAAAAATGTTTTTAAAATCAAAATTATTATGAGCTACACAAAATTATAACCAAATACTATAAAATATAAGAAGGTTTTTACAGATCCCAAATCATACTTAGTGTACTGAAAGATCAATTATTTCAAGAAAAAGTAAGAATGATCATAAAGGTTATTAATTTTATCAAAGCAGAAAATAGCAAAATCTGTGGGGCAGCTGGGGAGGAAGAATGAAATTCTGCAAAATTTTTCATTTTGTGGCTGAGGATTTACTTAGTATTTCAAAGGAGGAACCTATTACCAAATATAAATCAGTAACATAAATAAATAATTTTATATTACACTTTTTTAGAATGAAAGCTTGTTATTTCATAAGCATAATGCAAAAAATACAAATCTGTAAAATTCATCCTCTGCGGGGGGGGGGGGTGCATCTGAAGGTCATTTTGGAAAAAAAAAACTGAGCTCTGACTTTTGTACTGCAATTCTCATGCATTTATTTGAATAACCACTCGTTTCTTTTAGCATAGAATAAAATATTGAAAATCGATATGGAAAATGGAAATAGGTGTAAAAAATAAAACATGCACATTCTTTGTTTTGGCTTTGAGCTAATGACTTAACCAATCAGATTTCAGTAATGCAGTCATAAGTCAACTAAATATCAAGATTTCTATTTAAGCAGCATAGTGAGGCATTTTGATATATTTAATTACACAAACACACTGATTTTCCTCATTCAGAAGCATACTTTATTGGAAAAAAAATACTGAAACTGTTTATCAATAGTGGCATATACTGGAAGGCAACATTATGTCACTTGAAAACAACAATTTCTCATTATTCCATAAATCTAGGATTGAAAAGTTTTGATCTGGATTCTGAAGGATTACTTTGCAATGAATTTTCATCTAAATTTCACTGAAAGTTATTTACATAAAATCCAATATTTACTGATTTATTAGAGCTTTAAAAAATAATGATATTCATAAAAATTCAAAAAATCTTTTAGAATTTACAAAACTGATAGTAGAAATATGCACTGCAGAAAAGTTATTACTTTATTGACTATTTATAGAAAATGTGCCTTAGTAGAGTACATGAAACTTACCATAACAATTCATATAAATATTAATAACTTTTAACCATTGTAGAAACAGGTGAGATAGTACCATCTACCGCACAGTAAGTGGAGCAGTAGATGGTACAGAAAAATTTCATTTTCCCAGCATAATTATAAAGTGTTGAAATGTTTAACTAAAGGTAAAATGCAAAAAAATTATGATCAGAGCAGAAAACAAAGAATAATTGGGAAGGGGAAAAAAAAAAAAAAAAAAAAGAACAAGCAAAATTAAAGAAAAAAACTTAGGTTTCTATTAATGGTTTAATTTATCGTAAAGATAAAATATCAGGAGATAATGTTATGCAATTCATATTACCCCAAAATAAAAAAGAACAAAAATTTTTTGGGGGGTGGGGGGCTCAGTATGTCCCAAGATATACAGAATTTTTGCACAATTTGTAAAGATTGCCAATTGCGAAGTCTAGAAAGATGTACAGATATAAATTTTATTACTCCTGTAGTTAGACCAAACTTTTGGTTTGAAATTGTAAAATGTAGATATTATTGGCTCAGTCCATCCAACAACAACTAGAAACTATATTCTCACTTTAATGGATCAACATTCAAAATGGCCAGAAAACCATACCTTTGAGATTGCTTAGTAAAGCAACCTGTGATGCTTTACTTGGAATGCTTATAACTGTAGATGCAACTGTAGGTATACCAGTGGTAGTTCAAATTTCATTTCTCAGTTAACAGAGTAATTTCTTATTAGATTAAGAGTTTGCACTAAATTCTCACCACCTGTTTATACTTCGAAAGGTACAATAAAGTCTTCAAACAAATGCTTCATCATGTTATTAGAAAAGATTCCAAGAATTAGGGCAAAAATATTCCATATCTGTGATTTGCATATTAAGAAATTCCTAACTCGATGACCAGAGTTGGTTATTCCTAACTCATTGACCAGTGACCTTTTCAATTATTTTATGGTTAGAGGTCTATTTATAGTAGTTTAAGTTAGAGGTCTATTTATAGTAGTAAAATCTACTTGGTCATGAGAAATCCTAGCTTGGCAAAAGTGCAGTGATATTCAAGAATTCAAAATAAATTTAGAAGAGGTTGTGGAACAAGCATCGATAATCGCAGATAGGAAATAAAATCTATAAGTTGAGTATTTTAATCACTGCACTTCATGCAAATTTAAAACTAGTGAACAGGTATATTTACTAATTCTATATTGAAATAATAAATTACACGTAAGATGGACTGAAGTAGGAGAAATGATTTGTTGTAATCTTTATTTGTATAAAGTAAAACTTTCAGACAGAAAAATAAAGCATGTGCATGTAAATAAAACAGGAACATTCTCCACCCAAGAATCCTAACAATTGGTATAATTTTTGAAAATAAAGCAGACGTGGGAGAAATCCATCCAACTGAACCATCCAAAAACCTAATTTCATGGAAATCGACTTTTGGATGAAACAAAAAGAAAAAGGTATTTTAGCTTTCCTAACCAAGTACAAAATGCAATTTTCAAATTAAATGCTAATAGTTAAGGTTAGAGAACAAAATTAACTTGTCACAAACAAAAAAGAATAAAATTTACAATTATAGAATCCCTGAATTTCTCACAACAATTAGCTGATAAAAAAGTTGATGGATTGGTAAATCAAGGTCTTATAGTGGATAATGATGCAGAGATAGCCAGCCTACCCTGCAGTTTGTGTTATTAAAAATAGGACGGTAAACTTAGTAGATTGAGTATCAATTTTAGATTGTTTAACGCAGTTACTATAGCAGATGATTTCCCAAAGGTAAATGGCACTGGATGCATGTATTGTATAGGAAGAGTTAACATTATAAGCATTATAGATTTACTAAAAGGTTATTGGGCCATACCACTGGAAAAATAAAGTTAGGACTTGATATCATTTAACATCATCATTTGATATCATTTAACATCATCATTTGATATCATTTAACATCATGTTCAATATCACTTTGAAGTGATGCAATGGCATTCCAGTGTGTAATGAATAAAGCATTATCAGATTATAAAATAATTTCTAGTGCTCATATGGATGACCTAGTGGTATTTTCAGATGACTGGAACACATAGTTATCCCATCTAGATATCATATTTTCAAAACTGAAAGGAGCTGTGTTTCATCATTAACTTAAAGAAATGCTCTTTTGCAAAATTACAAATAAAATATTTAGGTCACATAATTGGATCAGGCAAATCTGAAAACTACCCAGATAAGATCAAAACAATCCAAAATTTAAAAAAATTCTTCTTGCCTATGTAACTAATAATACTGAGATTATACCATACTATGCAGAAACACAGCTTTCTCTCACTAAACTGATGAATAAATGAAGTTCTGAGGAATTGTCATGAACAGAGATCCACAACCAGTCCTTCACTAAAGTCAGATTCCTTGGCAAACACACCAAGTTTGCATATGTCAGTTTCTGAAGAACCAGTTGTAATAGTGGAATGCATCATCAATTGGTGTTGGTGATGTAATAGTGGAATGCATCATCAATTGGTGTTGGTGATGTAATAGTGGAATGCATCATCAATTGTACATGTTTATCTCAAAGAAAAAATGAGACACTTTTTCCTATAAGTTAGAAAGAAATAATATAAATTTTCCTCTAAGTTAGAAAAAGTCAGAAATTGACAAAACAACAGGCTTGCCCTACACAGTTATATGGAGTTAAAAAATCTGTCTAAGGTCAAATTAATAACTAATCCAACCTTTTAATATTTATTACGAAAAATACTATACAATTGTCAAAGCTTCAGAGATAGACCTTAGCTTTGCAAGAATATGCCATCTCCATATTGCACTGGCCAGGATTAAAGTTGTCTAATGCTAATGCTTTGTCCAGACTGGTTCCTGATTAAAAAAATTATTAACAGATTGCAGAGACAAGCAAGACAGCACCACCTATTGCATTGTGTGAATAGACTCCAATTTACAGCAAAACTTGTCAGTAGACAAGGCATGCATTTACAACTTTGAAAAGCACATGTAATGCATATTTTTAAAATTAACCATCAACTGTAATCAATTTAATCCTATTTAACTTGAAATCCACATATATATTCAATAATTAAAATTTTTCTTGTAAATTATATATATATTTAATTAGAAATTTTCATTTTACATCTGAAGAAGAAATACCACTGAATCTACTAATATATAATGGAAGCAAATATTTTAAATTGCTAATAATCATAGAGGAAATTTAGAACCCATAAATCACACATCTTCATGAGGTTTCTGGATTCTTATTTCTGCACAGAAATAATTTTTTTTTTAATTAAGTTTTAGATAGTCAAGAATAATACATATAATTATAAAAAAATACTTACAATTTATTCTAAAATTATGAAAGATTTACATGCAGCATGCTTAGGAAGCTTAAGTTCTGAATTACAGAATTTTTTTATAACACAATTTTTCATTTGTCTGCATATTCATCTTTTCAATCAGAATTGCTTCAAGAATTTTCATACCTAAATTTTGTCAAAATTCAATCCAATTTAAAAAAATTATTAATTTATTTTCAAATAATAGACTAAATTCTTTCACAAATTGCATTTGAATGAGGTATTATTAAAGCAGCAAGCATTTTTCATATATTTTAATTTTGCAATTTTCCCCATGCTATATCATAAAAGTGCAACTTCTTTCAAATTATCTACTTGAAAGGCAGAAAACTCAATTTACACTTGAGATAGTTTTCATTAATAATAGATGGGAAATTATTCACCAAGAAGTGAACAGATGAAAATTAAACTTTAGTTCTCAAGTTACTGTCAGCAACTTCAGCCTGTTTTAGAAATGGATCATTTAGAGAAAATTTATCTATTCTATATGAATATGCAATTACAAAAAAAAGCTTGATTGAAATGAAATATAAAATCACTTCACTTTTATTCAACTCGGGATTTTTTAAATATAATCTTGTTTCTGCACTCACTAAATTTTTCATTCTCTTTTTGTTTATTAAACTTTTGAATGTAATAGATGTCAGAGTAACGTCTGTATTTCTTTCAAAAATTACTAATGGTTTAACAAATAAATTCATTAATAGTTCAACAAGTTATCTTCTTAATTTATGTATATAAGGAGCTTGTAGTTGCAAATTAACATTTACTGTTATAAACAATCCATTCTTCAAAAACAATAAACACAATTTGGTGGTACGTGACTAAAAATTTTTTTTAATCTTATGTCATCCCTTTCCTTCACTTTCACTGTTATCTGTTGATCACCAAAAAAGTTATTCAGAGTATATTCCGCTGTTGCAAAATTCTTCTTATAGACTCTAAAAGAGACAGCCATCCATCCTATACTGCAGTATTTCAAAATTTTATGAGCTTTTGCATTCTGTCCCAAAATTTGTAAAGCAAGTTTAAAGCTGAGCTTCCATTTTGAACTTTACTCTAAAATATTTATTTACTAGCATTTCTATTTCTGAGCCAATTAATTTTTCAGTACCTTTTCTCTTTGCCATATAATATGTCATAATCAAAGAGTACAGTTTATTATTATTTCCATCAGTACTTAGAGCAAATGGTGTATTGCACACTAAGTTTAAAATATCAACAGCAGTACTTTTTTAAAGCATTTTCACAACTGCAGCACTTTTGGTACGGCTGCTATGGCATCCATTTCAAAATCTTTTACGAAGAAATTTATTATTTCTTTAGATTTTACAGTACCAATTTTTTCATGCTTTTAAGAAAACACGTGCCATTTACAGTAATCCTTTTCACCATGCACAACTGAGTCTTTGTTGCATATATTGCAATGTGCATGATTCATGGAAATTTCAGATGCTTTAATGCATGGAAATTTTGAAGAATATGAATCTTTAAATTTCTGACTTGATAATTTTAGCTTTTTAGTTTAAAGTGGCATAAAAAAATTAATTAAAAAATTTAAATTAAAAAAAACTTTCAGCTGAATCTCAGTTTACAAGACACACATTCTCGCCATAATCTAAACAAATGGATTGGAAGCAGATTAAAAACAGGTCCTTTACTGCAAGCAGCGTGTTGCCTAAGCATATGGTTCATGTAACTGACTTGCATCTTCTTCTAGTGATATATCATGAGATTGGCAACTAAAGACTTTCTGGGACAGGAGGAGGAAATATTGGATATAATAACAAGCTACAAATTTCGCAAAATAAATTTCTTCCTCTCATTACCAGAGCACTTTAGTTTCTTAGACACAAAAATCTGCATAAAGACTTAGACTGATTACATTTTGGATTAGCTCAATAAGCTAAATAAAAATTTCTACTGTAATGCAGAAACAAATCATCCTGAAAATCTTAAACTATGAAATTATTCCAGAAGATTACTTTTCCAGACCCTACGCAGTGCATTTATTCAACATGTTAGATTTACATAAATAATTGTTCGTTCACATCATGCAAAATATTTAAATGTACGAACATTTTCTTTTTTTATTTTAGTTTGTCTCGCTTGCTTCCATGTAAATGTTAGTGCTCAGCATTCTACAGTTTCAGATCAAGGGTTCAAGATCCAATCTGATGGCACTTTCATATTTTTCATCCCCTGCTCATAAAAGTCATTTCTGCATCATCCTGCATCTGTGTTCCTAATTAATTTTCAAAGATTCGATATCTGTGACTCAAAACACAAGCTTCACTCAGCATATTGATCCAGGTCACTAAACTTTTCTCCCACATGCTACGAATCTAAGATTTATCTCTCGTCATGTACGTAATTGTATTTAGAAGTATTTTATTTTACTTTCTCAACTTTAATTGTTTTTTTACTATTCTGTAACAGCATTTAATTTATTATGCACTGTAAGTGGTTAGTGTAATTGAGAACTCAAACTGAAACAGAATATGTAAAAAATAAATTAAATTAAAAAAGAGGAACTTTTATGATAACAATAAAGAAATATCAAACAAAAATTCTGAATAACAAATCAGTAATCCTTAATCCAAAAAGTACCAAACAGTTTTCTTTTGTCTTATGAATACTGTTTAAAAATTTTTCTTTGCATATGGCATGAAATTTCTCATCGTCAACACAGCATGCACATTCCTCACCAACCAATGAAGATTATCATGCTGAAAAAATTTCTATTGCACATGCATGAAGCATAAAGCTTTAGCATAAAGCGAGATGCATGCTAAAGCAAGATGTTGCTTTCACTTCAGGGAATTAGATTACAGAGATTATTGGTCAGAGTTTCCTGATCTATGACTGGTTATTCTCCAAAACAAGCAATGCACTCAATATGTGATATGTAAAATCTGTAGATTTTCTCCTTAGCTTATAGAGCTCATGGTTTTTCAGGAACTTACATAGAAACTACAGAGAATACTTAGTAGGAGACTATAGGTATGTGGTACTAAGGAAGAACATCAGAGGAAGAGAATGCTCCAGATGTGTGACTGATGAGTTCTTTGGAATATTTGTATTCAGATTGTTTATAATTTTTTTAGTGTCTGTCATCTAGTATAAATCATCTGTCATCTAGTGTAAATGATCTGAAGATCTGTCATCTAGTGTAAATCATCTTGCTGGATTTAGTAACATGAAAAATGCTTATTTGTGCACATGAGATGACTTCTGGTTGGTGCAGACAAGAAATACATTAAAGGTGGCGATCTACAACTACCTTTAAAATTCCTTAAAAATATGTCATATTATTAAAAAAAGAAGAAGAATATTAACTGTTTGTTGGACATTTGTTATACGTACCTTTAAAACTTGCATCACCATAGTTTCCCCTTGACTATTAACAACATTTAGCATCTTTGGCACTTCTCTGCTATGAATAACAAAATTTGTCTAGGAAAGGAGAAAAAAAAAATTGCAGTTCATATTGCTGAAGTAGATATAAAGAAATCTATTCAGTTATATTTCTATTTTGATTACCAAACTGTTATAAAAGCAATCTTTTAAACTTAAATAAAGCATTAAAATCCAGTTTTGTACATATTTCCGAACGCAGAAATTATGTACTTTTAAGGCCCATTAATAAAAAAATTAAGGACGTTTCAGCAAATGGAACTGAATGAATTCAAAGATATTATTTATGCCTGAACTTCCCTTTTGAAATACCATCCTAAGAATAAAATAGCTATGTAAGTAGGATGCATTATTGTTAAATATAATTTTATACACATGATTATAAAACAAATTTGAGAATAAAATCAACTTTATAAAATTTCTCAAGTAGCATGAAATATTTTACACTTATAATAGTTGGACATATTTGAAAGAAGATTAGAGACATTTTATTTACGTTTTACTAACAGTTAGCTTTATGTAGATTCTTTCATTATGTCTCATTTTGTCACATACTTGCTCAGTCTAGAGGTTTAGTATATAGCAGGAAGATTTTATGTCAAACAGCATAGGTTAAAATGAGAAGGAAAACAATAATCAGCATGATTTGTAATAGAAGACTGGCTGTTGCCATTGCTGCTGCTTGCTTGGAGAGAGAACTGCTGATTAGAACAAACCTGAAAGCCTGATGTAGGCACGGTTGGCAAGTTTTGATAGTTAGTTGTGCTCTGTCAGTCTGACAGAGTTAGTGTCATAGCTTCATGTAAAGTTCCTGTAGTTGTAACCCAGTTAATATAATTTAAGGTTAAAATAAGCCATTAAAGCACCGGAGGTGATAAGTTGTTTTGTATTATTTTAAATCTCACTAGATGCAAAGAATAAGTGTTACATTAATTTTTACATATTTGTGCTGTATTTTGTGACCACAGTAAGAAGGCAATAATCTTTGTTTAATAGTGCATTAATGAAAGGTATTAACTAGTTTTAACATGAAGAGATAACTTTTAAGAATGAACCGTTAGCTACAAATAATTAAATTAGATAGTTACACAGTACAAAGTCCATAGTCCGGATTCGTCGGGACTTCGGCAATTTTGGATTAGGGTTTTTTTTTTTTTTTTTGGATTATAGATTATCAACTTAAATCTCGTAAGATGGCGTGCAGAAATGATACAATTAAAAATATGAAATCGTAATTTATGAAATAAAGAACAATTATGATCTAAAGGGTATAAAAATTTAAAAAAAAAAAAAAAAAAAAAAGCTTAATATTTATTTCTTTATCAAACATTTCTTTCAATGTAAGAGTTTTAAGTTGCTTCCACAAAAAATTCAAAAAGTTCCTTTTCCTTGTTTCATATATAGTGGACTTTCCAATGCCATACTTCTCACATAATTTTGAGACGGATAGGCCTTTATCCATTTTTTGCAGTAATTCCACTTTTTGTTTAATGGTTTTGTTTTATTTTATAGAAAGGTTATGTAACAGAGTAGCTTCTAGAAAAATGTAGAAAAACTTATGATGCAGCATTTATATGAGGAGGTTATGTATGTAATAGGCTCGAATGTTCTAGAAGTTACTGGTCTAGGGAAAGATCCTGAATCGCAGAAAATTAATTAAAGGTTGCTGGTTCGCAAAGAGCAAGCAGTATTTTTTTTTTATATTTTACATCTTGATTTTGTAGTGAATGCCAATTTTTCAGTATCCTTTTCATTTAATTTTATATGCCAATAGCCTGATGCCAAATCCAATGTAGAAAAGATTTTTGCATTTGTTAATTGATCTAATACAGCATCAATTCTAGGAATAGGTTCAGAATCAGTTTTAGTAATTTGGTTAAGCTTCCTGAAATCAATACACAATCTGCTTCTGGACTGCTCATCTCGCTTATAAGCTAAAGTTACAGGAGCAGCATAAGGACTATAAGAAGGTTTAATAATTCCAGCTTTTAACAATTCATCTATTTGTTTTTTAATTTCACTATTATCTTTAGGAGATGCTCTATATGGTCTATAGGCTATTGGTAATTCAGAAGTTAATATAACTCTGGGAGGTTCAACCCTTATACAACCAACATCATATTTACTTTTTGCAAATATATGATTATAATCATTCAACAATTTCTGTAATTTACTATCAGAATTTTTACTATTTTCAAAATAATTACCACAATTTTTAGTACTAAGATCATTTTTACATACAAAATTTTCGCTATTATCAAAATATTTACTAGATTGTTCAGCACTGATATCATTTTTACATACATAATTATTTTGGAAAAACTTGTCTACTTTAACATTTTTACTTACCTGTTTTCCAAGCTGATACACTTCATAATTATGAAAATTCAATTGTAATTTAAATAATGAAACACATGGTGATGAAAGCAATAAATAATTCAAATTTGAATCTACTACATAAAATATCACATTATTTTCTATTTTACCTACTTTACACTTTACTTTGATTATTTTCTCTATATGAACTTGACTAGATATTGAAAATATTTTATCACTGAAATTTCTCTAAATTTATCACCAATTTTGTTAAAAATTTTTAACGGTAAAACGTTAATTTGCGATCCCGTATCAATAATACTGGGAATTTTTTCCTGTCCAATTTGGACATTCACTTTAAAGTAATATCATTTTTTAACTTCTCTCGAATTTATTTTTAGGAACGTCTTGTGTTAATACATTCTTTTAATAGACAGTATATTATTAGTGGTATTTGATCTATTTTGTATGTCATTAATTGCGAGCCGTTAGGCTAAGCTAACAAATTTGAAAAATCGTTTTTATATCGTGTTGCGTTCTCTTTTCTGTTTATCGAAACATAGAAAAAAGTAATACAAATCATACCTCTAAATCTACTGCTTTATGGTTTGAAAAAAATGAGATATGAAACCGGAATTAAAGGTATTCCCTCTAAATGCATATCCTCGAAAACTAAAACATAACTAGAAATCCTGCTGTACCTAACTGATATTTTGAATCAATCTAATATTGGCATTCTTTTGAATTTCGATGATAGATTAAGATGAATTCCAGATTTTGCGCTAAAATTAGACATGCTTGGCTGACGAGTTGCAGCCCGTAAACCTCCTCCTACATGTCTACCGGAACTTCGGAGAGCATTGCTTTTTGAGTGGTGTAATATCCCCCAAGATCAGATCGATAATTTGATACTCCTCTGGATTAAAAAAAGAAACAACAATTGGATAGTGTTTTGAATCGGTATTATTGCTTCCGAATAGCAGGTAATTGTGGATATCGAATTGGCCGATACGCATACTGTAGAGGTCGGTATTGCACTTGTTGATAATTAAAAGGTCTCACACTACGAAAACTTTGATAAGGAGTGGCTTGCACTGGTCTGGGATAATAGTACCTCGGAACAGTTTGCCTTGGAGAAACAAACTGGTAATTACTATTTCCTAGATCATCCAACGGCATCTGAACTGGAAACAGTTTCCTAGCAAGAGTAATCCAGTCTTTCGGTGTGTCTATTTTTTGCACTGTTAACAGCATTCTTTGAGACTCAGGAAGTCCTTCCGTAAGTGCTTCCACCATTGTGGAATCTGTTAGTTTCAAGCTGGCTCCTAATTTCAACTTATTACGAAAATAAACATCAATATTATTAAATTTCTCGTATTTTAAAGACACAAAATCACTAAAAGTAACAGATTCCGATGTTGTGAAGTATGTCTCGAAAATATCCTTTATGTTGTTCCCAGTCTTTATCTAAACAATCACGTAAATAGAGGGCTAAAGCCTCTCCTCTAATACACTCTGAGAAAACAAATTTCTTTTCCTTTTCTGGAATGTTCTTTGCGGCACATTTCTCTTCAAACAATAGAAGATATTTGTCTATTGGAAAATTTGTACTTGTGCCATCAAAAATAGGGAATTGAAATTTCACTGTATCCACAATAGCTACGGATTCTTGCTTATCAGTTGACATTTTTGCCGTTTTTGAGCGTATTAGCATTCCAATCACAAAATCTTGAATTTAAGAGTTCGCATACACATCAATTTGAACACTAAAATCAATCACTTTAGAAGCACTTGATAAAAACGCATAACTTTGGAGGCGAGGTAAAAAAGCATCGCCGGAAAAGAAGCAAAAGCATAAGACGATCACACACTGTCCTTGACCCACTGTTGAATTTAGAAGTGCATTAGAAATAAATCCAGGAGCTTTTTTCCCATGTAGAGGATAAATCCTGTTGAGTAATTAATAACTGTAATGTTTTCAGTTATTCCAACACATCGTGGGCGAATGGTGAGGCTATTCCATTACACGTTCTGGCAGATGGTTGACGAAGCTGGGATGATTGAAACACGGAGAAAAATGACGACTCAGGACTTTTCACTTTTAACAGCAAGCATATCTTTATTTTAATTTAGAGCAGATGACTTTTTCCAGATGAAGTTAATCAAATAACTTATTCAGTAATTGAACTATTACATACGACTGACTTTAAACTTTAATTTCATAACGTTCTAACAAAGAAAGAGGAGCATAGCGGAAGCGTTAGCAGAACAAAGGCGAGAAGGCATCTGTGTAGGAGAACTTATGACGCAGTATTTATATGAAAGGTTATGTAACAAAGTAGCTTCTAGAAAAACTTATGACGCAGCATTTATATGAGGAGGTTATGTAATAGGCACGAATGTTCTAGAAGGTACTGGTCTAGGGGAAGATCCTGAATTGCAGAAAATTTATTAAAGGTTGCTGGTTTGCAAAGAGCAAAGCCATTGTATTTTTTTTTTATATATTTTACATATTTAAATATTAAATCATTCATTAAAAAATTTCAAAATTGCAAAAATAAATCAAGTGCAAAAACATTGTTTTATCTGTTTTAAACTGTGTTCTTGTACTGAAATAATTTATGTAACCAAGTGAATTTATTCTCCAAATTAAACTGGTTAAAAAATACAGGTAAATTATTGACAGCATTTTTTTGTTAATTATAACATAGGTTATTCCTCTCCTCATGTTTAGTTTATTACATTACTCATCTTACAAGAATGAAACACTACACATTTTAAAACCTCTTTCTTATGAAATTAAAAAAAAAAAAAATATTAAATTTATCCATCTTATCTACCAATTATTATTAGAAAGGTAAATTCAAAAGTCATCACTTTTACTTATATACTTGCTGAAATTCTATATTCCTTTTTACTTCCCTGTACAAAGTAAAAAGGAGGACTAGAATACTTTCTTGTACGAAGCAAAAAGGAAGTATTGTAATCACAAAAAATTTCGGTATCATATTTCAAAGAAAATATCCATTTTGACTGCTATCGAATGCAATTTAACGATGTTTTTGTGTGACATCTGTACAAACAGAATAAAGGATTCTTCCCTCCCCCCATCGCATAACTTAAAAACTAGTAGCCTCAGAAAGTTGAAATTTTGTATATAGGACTGCTATAACATGTAGATGTGCACCTCCTATTTTGGTTGCAATCAGCTGCACCAAAAGTATATAAATATATATATACACTCTGTTACTCGGTTCAGTGAGCTCAGTTTCTTTATTCTTATATGTTTGTAAACTATGCACTTTTTGCTTTAAAAATGATTGAACTATGGTTTTCTTATCTTCCAGTTAAGGTTTTTTGTGACACTTAGCAGAATAGTGGACTTGTTGCCAATGAAGAGAAACTAAGCTTTGCAACAATAATATTTTCTTTTATTATTGTGAATTAAGTTATGCTTAATCAATTCTGGAATTATCAATTAAGTTATTAAATTATCCCATATATTGACTGACTCAGCATAGCGTCCACAACAAATTAAGTCAATTTCTACACCTTCAGTTTCTGTTTGCTGAGTAAGACCAGAAGTAAACTTTCAGTTTTGGGCACCAAAAAATCTGTCTTCTTGCCCGCTGGGCGAATTGCTTGTTTTTGCATAGAAACTGTAATTTTAATTGTAAAAATTGTTTTTTTTTTTTTTTTTAAATTGTATTTAGTGTTTTATGTTTTTCTATATTTTTAATTTTTAATGAAGATATTTTGTGTTTTTATTATTTTTGCCTTACCGCGAAGTGAGAACTGAATTAATTGAATGAGAAATACATCTCTAATGAAATTCGAGGAAATAAGAGTTTCATATTAGCAGAAAAAAATGTCGCCAGTCTGTTTCGGACAGAGGAGAATGTTTATGAGTAGCAACATGCACATTAGGTAAGCAGCGCTGAATTGTCTGGGAAAAACTATTTATTTTTTATTTGTTTTATTTATTTGTTTTTTATTTATTTATTTATTTTTTTTTTACACATCATTTTTAGATTTATTACAGTATTTGAATAGAACATGTGGCAATGATTAAATAATTCATCAGATGATGTAATTTTTTTGCATTCCGAGTTAAAAAAATGAATAAGATGCAATGCTGCTAAGAGAACCTAGCGCCAGAATATTGTTATGGTAAATAAATATAGAAAATTTTAAAAAGTGCATTTATTCTATTATGGTTTACATGCTATCGAAGTAGATTTAATTTAATTCAATAAGCTTAAATGAAATGCAGGGAAAAATGCGTATAATTAAATATTCTGTAGAAGGAAGTCATGTGGTGTACACATCAGATTTTTTTAAAAAAATACTTGCAACCACTTCCCAAAATAGCAAAGCTAGGTAAAGAGATCTTTCCAAGTTAAATAATGCTTGTATAATTTTTTTTCAATGTTCAATCAAGAATTAAATTCCCACCATTATTTTATTTCTTTCTCATATAGGTCAGAAATCAACCTGTTAGTGCAACTACCTTTGTACAAGTCGCCAAATTTTCAGAGTGTGATAAACTCTGGCAATCATTCCTATAACAGTTTTTTCATGAACCAACGTGGTCATTTTCGTTTGTGTCATTTTTGTTATTCTCTAAGTTCCAATGTTTGCTTGCAGTGGAAGAAACTGAGAAAAAATTTCTGTGGTAATATAGTAGTTTGTCTCAATATTGCTAAAGTGAATAATTGTTTTGAAATTGTTATTAAAGTGATAGTGATGAAATTTTCATCAGGATGAAAAAAACAAAACCTGCTTTTAAGTGATTGATTTTGCATATGAACACCTAATCAGTAACATAAAATAGTGTATGCAATAATTAATATTTTGCAATTATAAGTATTCATTTTTTTCCTGCTTCAAAAAATCCTCAAATTAAGCAAGGAGGTTGCACTAATATGGAAATACTTAAAAATTTAACAAATTCCAAGATCAGTATGAAACTGTATAGCTGAATTAAATACTTAACAAGTTGTTTTAAAGGGCCAAAATCATACTACACAATTACATACACACATGACTTTAATGATACATTAGGTCTGCAAATGGCATATACAGTAAAGTTAGATGCCATATGTACTTTTACGAGATCCGTGACTAAAATTACTTATTCAGTTTCCTAGTTTCCTATGCAGTTTTCCTCAGCTTCAACATATTTAGCATCTTAATCAGTCTGGCACTGATTGCAGGAGGGGAAAAAAAAGAAATTTTGTTATAGTTCCCAAATCATTTCTGAATGGCATCTTTCACGTCACTACCATCACTGTAACATGAACAGTTTTTGAAGATAGTTGCAGCCAGGTCTGTATGTGGTCTTTTGATTTCACTTTACTTGCAAGTATATAGCAGTAAGCAAGAAACTGAAATTTGCATTGCTGAATACTGGTCAATTAAACCTGAACTTTCTATGCAGATGTGTTATCATGAAAAGCAATGCTCTCTTGCTGAAGCTTTCACAGTGGTTTTTTTTTTTTTTTTCCCCTTTATGGTTAAAAATTTTATGTAATAAATACTTGCTATATAGTTATTATGTGGAAAATAATCAATAAGAAATGCCTCTCTTCAGTCTTAAAAAATAAAAAAAAAAATACGATCAAAATCTTCCCAGTAGACATCTGTGTTTTGCATACCATCTTCTTTTGTTTCATTTCAGATTACAATACTGAATTCACACCTTTTCTGATGTTATTACAAGAATAAAAAATACTTTCATTGGCATTTATTAAAGAGAGAGTTTTTGAGAACAATAATCCAGATTTTTATTCATTTCTAGAGTCAGCATTAAGGTACTCATCTAATACTAATGTCAACATCTAGTCTGTAACTTATCCAATTTTATATTATATATATCCAATTTTTCAGGTAAGACTTTCACGAGCCCAACACTGATGCTCATTTATGTTACATCCCAAGAAAATGCTACATCAATTTTCCATCATAAATTCGACTTTCACATATTTTTCTTCAGTCTTTATGTCCACAACAGAGCATTGCTGGATCATCTTCAAGTGACATTTTTCCTTCTTCAGACATGGCAGCCTACTTTTTTAGCAGTAGCAAAGGAAAGTAAAATATCACTATAGATGATAATTATATATTTATGACTATTTACCTGTTTATGTTTTCCTTAATCACGAATTTAATCACTGAAAAGTTTAAGATATTTACAGATATTACAGAACTAACGATGCTTCAAAAAAGTCAGCTGAGAACTACGAACTTTCTCCACATTATACTTATGAAAAAAATGACACAACTGTTTCATTATAATAAATCATTATAATAATCATAATGTATTACGACATAGTAAGGCCTAAAGCATAACATCCTACATATTTATGATATTTTATATCATTATCATGCATTAACAAGCTATTATATTATCAATCATTGAACACAAGAATTAGCTGAAGTAAAATAACAAATATATATATATACTTACCAAAAATCCAGCTGCAGCTTTCACAGTAGGCTTTTCAGGTAAATTCAAAGCAGCCGAAGCAAACTGGAATAATACTAAAGGATGAATATTATCACTTTTGAAGAAAATAATTGATTTTTTAATTATTTGCTCCAACATCTGCAAAAATGATTCTATGACTCCAGTGCTTTCTCTAAAATCATTCATAGATAGCTGAATAGTATGATTGCAGATTTCAGCAAAATATTTTGACAAGGTCTCCGTTTGGTCATCTACATCCGAAAAAAGCAACAACAGCTGCTTTGTCATATCCAAAACAGAAGAATGGGGGCAATGCTTATATAAATGCATCATTAAATTCAACATTTCTGGCAGAAAAATTTTGCAGTCATCAGACAGCACAGATAGAGACTTTTTCAAAGCATCACAGATAGCCTAGAAAAAGCATTTTTATTATAACATTTACTGCAAATATAAAGCCATTATAAACAATTCAAACAAGTATAAAAGCATTACAATTTCTAAACATGATAAGCAAAAATAACTTTAACTTAAATTACAATTAGAATATTTTAGAATTATAACTAACCTCATTCTCAAACAAAGATATTAGACTGTTTGAAATATTTACCTCTAAATTTACAATATAATCACAAAAAAAAGTGATCCTACTTGCAGTTCTAACAAATAAATTTTTAATATATTTTCAAAAATACTGCAGGTATTAATTTTTAAAAAAAATATCAATATTTTTAATCTTATAAATATCAGCCCCTCGTACATTTTAATTTTACATAAATTTATTTTTTCCCTAATAGCTATACATAATTAGTTTTTAATTCCATCATAATCATATAAATTTGATTATTGTATGACACTTCTGCAGTAATTAAATGAATATCATTTAATTATTGTAGAAGTATTACATATGACAACATACATGCAGATCAGAAAAAATTCCTATATGATCACAGATATTATATATATATATATATATATATATATATATATATAAAGATAACAATTTTTTTGAAAAACAAAATATAACCATGTCTAGAATCTTTGCACATTAAACTGCTGAAAAATTATCAGTAAAGACATAAAGTAAAAAATTTAGAACCAATTTTTCACAAAGACCAAAAATTGAAATTTATAAGTAATAAATTTCATATAATCCTCCAAATGCAATAAAGAATTTAATAAATGTTCAAAACCAAAACTCTTCAAACAAGCAGTATCCTAATTAAAAAAATCAATGAAATTTAAAGAAAAAAAGAACATCATAGAAGAGGAATTCAATCAACCTCAGTGCCACTTTGTCAGGGAACAATGAAATCAACTGAAATCTCTCTTCCACAAAAATTGTTGCTTTTCTACAATTATTGATTTTTTGAATTGGGGTATGGCTTGTTTGAAGAGTTTTGGTTTTAATACTTATTAAATTCTTTATTACATTCACAGGATTATTTGAAATTTATTAATTATGAATTTCAATTTTTGGACTTTGTGAAAAACTGGTTCTAATTTTTTTTACAAATTAAGAGCAGTGATAGTACTCATCCAGATGAGCAATAATTACCATAGAACATAGAGTCGCATTCCACTCTGAAAGGCAGAAAAGAGGAATATTAGAATTACAACCTGAACTGACAACAATGTTGGGAGAGCAAATGAACGAGAAAGTTTCACAATCAGTTTAGTGAAAAACTTGCAGAGAGTGCACAAAAAAGATAAAACTGAAAACTTGGCATTCAAGTGTTAATTCGAGCTCAGACTTTGATGGCCAACACTCAGACATACATCTTTGGTACACAAGGTCTCAACCCTGCAAACGATTGCAACAAGTTAATTTCCTAATGAAGGGCTGAATCTTATCAACTAGCTCGAACTTTCGCTATATGGACTACTACGACTGATACTCTGATGGTCAAGGTAGCAATTTTTTCCCCTTCGCCATCTTCTATCCTATCCTCCTGAACATACTGTGCTGCGTTCATTGTATTCGAAGCACCCTTTCTTTGGGACACAAAGTTCTGACAGCCTGAACTCTTCATGCTAATCTCGGCTTGGAATTAGCTGATACAGTACAAAGTCCGAAATTCGGATGCCCATTATCCGGAATGATCTAAAATCCGGACCTCAAAACTACCAACAACGTTTTTCTAATAGACTTTATGCATGCGCATTTGATTCTTTCCCACCATGCATAATAAAACATCTGGAGAGTCCCGATTCTTAATTTCACTTCGACACTAAATAAAATACCTTGTTACTGAAGAAACAATCATTTTCAGTAATTTGGCTCCATTGCTGCGTATCTGCTTGCACACATCTCAAACCGAAACATTCCACATAGATACATCATTGATCTGATGCCAACCTGGGGCATCATTATTTATTATACTTTCCTTTCATCACCGTATGTTTATCAAAACATGACAGCTTGAGTTATGACTCATGTAGCGATGCCTAAAAATTTTTTTTATGTTAGTAATTGAATAATAAAGGAGTATGGTAACCTTTTATGTTGACATTATGCTTGGCAATAATTACAGATTTAAGTTAAATGCGCTAAACTGTTGGCGAAAAAAAATTTAGTAAAAATTTCTTTCCATATGGTAAAAACAGATTTTGTTGATGATACTTATAGACCCAAAGATTACATTTAGGGATATTTGAATTAAGAATAACTAATTTGTTATTCACATAAACCCAGGGCCAAGGCTCATATGGCCGCACCCAGTCACAGAATTTAGGACCCAACTTAAACAAAAAAAGCAACTTAAACAACTTACACTGAAAGAAATGTTTAATAAAGTAAACAAATAAATATTAAATTTTTGTTTTGTTTTGTTAATTTTGATACCCTTTAGATCATAAATACTTCATTATTTCATAAATTCCAATTTCATATTTTTAATTTCATAATTTCTACATGCCATCTTACTAGATTTAAACTGATGATCTAATATCCGGAAAAATTCCAAATCTGGAATCTCTGAAGTCCCACCGAGTCCGGATTTCAGACTGTGTACTGTAGTATTCAGCCCTTGATTAGATAATTAACTTGTTGCAATCGCTTGCGAGGTTGAGACCTTCAAAGTCTGAGCTCGAACTAATACTCGAATGTCAAGTTTTCGGTTTTACCCGTTTTGTGCACTCTCTGTGAGTTTTTCACAAAGCTGATTGTGAAACTTTTGGTCTCGTTCATTAGTTTTCCCAACACTGTTGTAAGTTCAGGTTGGAATTCTAATATTCCTCTTTTTTGCCTCTTAGAGTGGAATGCGACCCTATGTTCAATGGCAATCATTGTTCATCTGGATGGGGACTATCACTTCTCTTAATTTGTTAAAACAATTTAGAATCACCCTGTATATACATATCTTGAGAAAGGACAACAGGCCATTTAATAGTTTTCTTTTTAGAAAACCTGAAAAGAAAAGTTTCTTAAATGGCTCATTTCATAATATACACACTGTGGTATGTTAAATATTTAAAATATTTTAATATGTATTAAGATCCTGAATAATAACCTTAAATATCAATAATTTTATCATTAATTTCTAAATCAATACTGCTAAAGTATTAAAGACATGGCCATATCTATCAATTATTAAACCTCCTCAGAGTTTTCAAACTGATAATTATGTAAATTCTTGATATTTAAATTGATAACTTTTCACAGTAATACCCTGCCATCTTCTTTTCATGCTGCCAACAAATTTACTTATGTTGTACTGCATGAATAGTTTTTGGTACAGCAAAGGCTGTTAAAATTAATTACAGTAAATCCTTATTAACACAAATGCCAAGGGATCGAAAAATCAAGAATTAGTGTTAACTAGAGACTTGGATTTTGTTTTAGGAACAGTATTTTCCACACTTTAACTATTTATGCTATACAGGTACAGACACCACAGTATATTACGAGGCGTATTTGGAAACTAAGTACCGTTTTGGAAAAAAAAAATAAAAAATAGTAAAACAATTTTTTCGAATCCAATTTTATTTTTACATGAAAATACATGTCTTAAACTATTTTTCAACATAGTTTCCGCCAATGATCAAACACTTGTCATAGCGGGTGACCAGTTTTTGTATACCATCGTCAAAGAAACTTCCCGCCAGTTTCGATAACCAAGACTCCACAGCATTTTTCGTGTCATCGTCAGATCCAAAGCGCTTGCCACCAAGCTCGCGCCTCATGTGCAGGAACAAGTGATAGTCGGACGGTGCCAAGTCCGGGCTATACGGCGGGTGATCAAACTGCTCACAATGAAACTGTCAAATTAACATCTTAAAAAAAAAAAAAAAAAAATTAAATTAAATAAGGAGGGCAGAGGTGCTTTCTCAAGCCAAATGGCCAGGTGGTGTATAAAGATTTGATATCTATTTCCAATCCAAAATACAGCTATGAGAGGGAAATCCCTGCATAGTTTCTTTTCCAAAGAAGAAGAAAAAAAAAAAAAAAAAAGAACTCACAGCACGCCTCAATGCTTGTTTCTTGTGGTTTCAAATTCACCTTACCTGTAGGTGTCTAGTATACATCAGAAACCCTATTATGCCAGAGAGCCCTTTGTATAGAAGGGCTTGATTAAAGCTAATATAGGGAAACACAAGGAATTTGTTTCTAGGGACAGAAAACACCGGACATCGTCCCAGAAAGTGAAAAGGTGTTTCCTCTTCTTCTCCACAAGCTGGGCAGAGAGGAGATTCGACAAGACCACATTTGTGGAGATGCTTGGCCAGATAAGCATGTCCGGTAACAATTTGAATTACCTGGAATAAGTTAGTTCTACTGTATATGAGTTTACCTGATAAGTTAAGTGTACTGAGCACCAATTTTAAATGAGCACAGTCTGGTAGTTTAGACCATATATCATCATGTTTGTTCTTTATCCAACTTCTTACTTCTTTTTTAACAATTTGATATGAAACTGGGTAAAATGGTTCTGGGCTAGACATGGTTAGTTGCGAAGCATCTTTAGCTACTTTATCAGCTAGTTCATTTCCAGCAAAATCACAATGACCTGGGACCCAGACTAAACTAATGGTATTATGGTCCTGAGCCAGAGAATTGAGATCTTGAGTACAGTTCAAAACACAGTTTTATAACTTGACATGATTAGCCAGGGTAAGGATGGCTGATTGGCTGTCAGAGAGAATATATATATTCTTATCAACTGTATTTTTAGCTAAGAGATCCCTGGCCACCATATTGATCGCCAGAACCTCGGTTTGGAAAACAGTTGTTAATTTACCAAGGTATAGATGAAATCTAATGAAATCTTCTCCAGATCCCTTGGTTCTTATAATAGCTCCAGCTCCAGTGAAGTTGGATTTTGATCCATCTGTGTAACATTCAATTGATCCTGTTAGAATTAAGTCAATTAGAGATTCTATCTCATTTCTTTTTGGTATATAAGTTGAGAATAGTTTATCTGGAACTATTGTTTTAGTAATTGCATCTTTGGGCATATAGATTATAGGGATCTCATTGCCCAAGTCCAAGCATATGTCGATGTGGCTTTTCAGGTGGCTTTTATGACCAAAACCTGTCCTTTGGCACCATGTACCATTTTTATTCAACCTATACATGGCTTTAATTGCTTCTCCGCTCAAGAATAATTTCAAGGGTGGAATTTGCAAAAAAAAATTCTAATGCAGCAGTAGGGGTAATATTTAAGGCCCCACTAATGCATAGGCAAGCAAGTCTTTGCACCTTTTGTAAAACGTTTAAATATGTGCTTTTGTTAATAACATTGATCCAGACCACGCATCCGTAAGAAAGCATTGGCCGGACTATGGCAGTATAAATCCATAGAGTAGATTTTGGGTTAAGGCCCCATTGTTTACCAACAATTCGCCTGCAAAGTACTAGTACATTTGTGGCTGTTTGTGCCTTTTCTTTTATATGGGTGATCCATGTAAGTTTACTGTCCAGGTAACATCCTAGGTATTTAACACAATCCTTACGTCTGATAATCTGGTTACCCAGATATAAATCTGCCAGTTTCCATTTCCTTTTCCATGTGAAAACTATGACCTCAGATTTTTCAGCAGAGAAAGATGGGCTATTTGTTTCACCCCAGTGTGAAACTTCAAGATTCAAGATCTGCTGAGCTTGATCTATAGGGTTCCGATATCGAAACCCTATAGTAACACAATAAGGTCATCTGCATAAGCCTATGACATGCCAGGTTCCTCCTGTAGAAGTACTAAGAGTGAGTCGAATACCAGGTTCCACAGGAACGGAGAAAGAATACCACCCTGCGGAAATAATATCTCTCTTTACTAGTAATATCTCTCTTTACTTCACAGTCACTTCACAGTTTCTCTTTACTTCCCAGTTTATTAGTAATATCTCTCTTTACTTCACAGTCAGCGAGACTAACGCAGATATTCCTGTTTTTAATCATAAAGATGACCCATTTAGTTATCATAGGGTGAATATGACTTCCAATAAGGGCCTTATGTATTTTCTCGAAACCGATGTTATCAAAGGCTCCTACAATATCCAGTAGAATCCCAATGGCAAAGTGTCCGTCTATAATTGTTTTTTCTATTCTCCACACAAGTTGGTGTAGGGCTGACTCAGTGGAGAAGCCAGGCCTAAAACCGTGTTGGTCTAAGCCAAAAGTATGGTTCAGATTATTATCTGACTGGAGGTGCCAGAAAATCAATCGCTCCAACAGCTTCAGCTGGAAGGATGTTAGCGTAATCATTCTAAATGAGTTTGGTTTCTCATATGTATCTTTTCCTGGTTTGGGAAGAAACACACCTCGTGAAGTTCTCCACACCTTAGGAACATATCCTAAAACCAAACTGGATTCGAATATGTCCACAAGAATGTGGCCAATAATATCCCAGCCTTTCTGAAGCAGAATTGGGTAAATGCCATTGTTCCCTGGAGATTTAAAGGGAAGAAATACATCTAGGGCCGCTTTAGCCTTTTCAAAGTTCACTATTGTCTTAGCAAAATCCAAATCTAATGGATTATGAAGTAGTTCCAATGGATTTTCCTGGGGGTCAGAGGTGACACTTGTGTCCCCCAGATGAAAATTCAACATGGTCAACATGGTTTGTAATCCTTAACTGAATCAAATCGAATTACCTTAATTTTTTTTTTCTAATGTAGTAACGAAAACTTGTGAAAATATTTCAAATTAAATCATTCTGAGCAAACTGTTCTGCAGAGTCATAGCTAGGGTTTTCAGCGCCCAGGGACAACTGAAGATTTCGCACCCCTTACTGCTTGCCAAGGATGGAAAACATTTAGTTCTAAAATGTTGTAACATGAGTTTGGCGCCCCTTGGATTCTGCGCCCGGGGACAGATGCCCCCCTTGCCCCCCTCTAGCTACGCCCCTGCTGTTCTGTGAAAAGTATAGCATTTAATTCCGTTCAGAATGAAATGTTGTCTAAAAATGTATTCTTTTCATATACTTAAGACTCTGAAGTACTGTAGAAAAAAGAAAATATATACATTTATATGCATACTTATGACATAATTACAAAATATTTACATCCGATCCTGTCAAAACCCATTGAACTCAATGTTAAATTACCCAATGTTTTGGTCACCAAAGAAGGGATCACCAGTGCTTCAAATCAGGGTATGGGGAAACCAGTTTAGGGCCACTCCATCTAACTTCCTACCTCCATGGTCCCGCTGGATGGGCAGCTTGATGATCTTCCCACTTCTTTGGATTATTTCTTGCATCTTAGGGCACAACTGCTTGTACATAAGATTCCACTGGAACACACATGGCAACAATATCATTTGTACTGTCAAACTCCTCAAAACTAACATAATGCCCTACAGAATATTCCATTCATTAGGTAAAGTAGTACCCTCTAAACTTGTCAATAGGATTAGTGTCTTTGTGTCTTGGGATTCTACTGAAACTGTTCTGTATATGTAGTGATAACAGAGATTTCCAAGATATGGCAGCAGCTTTTATAGCATCAAGCACACTCCAGGATGGTACTTCTGTCTCTTTTCAGCAGTGCGAGTTAGAGCTCTCACAAGTCGCTTGCAATAAGACTTCTTCATAACAGTAATAGTGCCTTCATCAAAAGGCTGAAGATGACTTGTTGCATTTAGTGGGAAAGGCGAACCTTTAATTTGCTTAGGCTCAGATCATGTGCATTATGGGGTGTACACTTGCCTAGTGTCATAAGAACACACCTATTCTAAGAAATCATTCAACAGTTACAACAAAGAAGCTACTTACCAAATGATGAATTGTCAGTCCAATCTTTCTTATGGTGAAAGTAGATGCAAGGTAAATATGCAAGGTGTTAGTAATCTTAAAATAATGTGGTTTCTTAGATTTAATGATCATCAGTGGATATTGTAATTACTGCCGTCTGCATTCAAGGACAACATTTAAATGTTGTTCAATTGCATAGCACTCTTCACCTTTTACTTCGAGGATACGACTTTGGGAAATATTATAAAAAAGTGTCATTTCACCCATATTGTAGATATCACATGAGGCATACTTTTCTCTCACTTGATCAAATTCATGCAACCAACTGTTTGTTTCTTCTTTATCAATTTTATTTGCTTCACCAAAAGTTGGTAATGATGAAATTGAGAGTCTCTTTTGGAACTGGTACAACCATCCAGGAAAAACTTAATGTCTAAATTTTATACAATCTCGTTTGCATTTGACCGAATTATAGATCCACTTAACGGTATATTAGAAGCATGCACATGGCTGATACCAAGAATGTTATGGATACATACGAGAATACACCAAGAATGTTGTGGATGGTAAAAGTTCTATGAATTTCAGCATTTAAAGTAAAGATCACAGCAGCTGCCAAAACTGTAATTTTACAATTCAGTAGACTTGGCATAAGACTATACATAGTTTTGAATGAAGCAAATTTTGAAATCTTCTACGATAAGACAAAAATTTTGACATTTTCTAGCCTTTCAATATCCTCAATAATTTTCAAGCAATGCTATTTTTTAACTGCAATTATTTTTTTTTCACTGATATAATAGTTTAAATACTTTAGTTAAATAACTTGAAAGTAACTCAACAAAGTGAATTTAAAACTAATGCTCATATTTTACAATTTAAAACTAATGCTCATATTTTTTTATTTGGTGTCCCACCCAATAAATTCATTTGAAAAAAAAAATATATCAGAATTAATGGTTATATAATAAAAGGTTTTTAATTTATGACTTCAGTTATTAAAAAACTGGTAACTAACAGACAAACAAGTAAAGGCACTTGAATTCCAAATCATTTCATTGACATCAATGTAAAGAAGAAAACTAATACATAAATAGTTTTTATTACCTCTGTAATCTGCTCGTTTGCTTCCCACTTGTTCCCCAAAGACGAGAAGATGGCTAAAAGCTTTTCTAAGACAAAAAGTACTGGTTGTGGCTGCCTCTGATTTTCTTCTGATATTCTGTTTGATTCAACAGATTCCTTCTCCTCATTTTCTTCACTTTTATCCCAGTGAGTATCAAGATTAGAGAACAGCATAGTAAGCATATGTAGATTATGAACTATAGCTGCTGCACTCGTAGGGTTATTCTATAAAAAACATACTTTTATAAGACTACAACACATTAAAAAAAATAAAATTAACTGGACAGGAAGATAAAATCAGTTTATGAAGTCTTGGACAGTTTGCTGATGCAACAGCACATTGATTATAAAATATTCTATAGTTAAGCAGCTCATAAGAATTAGATCTCATGAAATACTGCTTTACAGGACATGATAATACTAGAAAAAGAAAAATACATTATATAAAAACCACATAAGTACAAGGACATACTAAAAAATTGCAAATTACCTTTCTGATTTTAAAACATTGTTTGACAAGCTGTCACAAAGTATAAATGAGCCCTTTTTTATGGCTGGGAACACACTAAGGCAACGATTGCCATTTATTATTAATTTATACATTATTTTAATAAGCTTTTGGTTCATATGCTTTAAAAAAATTGACCTTTTTTAATATATTACATGTGCTACTAACTTAAAAGTACTATTTAAAAATAAAACATTTACCTTTCTATGCATACAAAATGCACAAAATAACCTGATAGAAATATCAATGCCTTCTCATAAATAACTATTTATTCCTTTCGATATTTCTCCTTGTGACTATTTACTAGAGGGATATTTTTTAAAAATTACACAACAAGCATTAAATGTAAACCATTAAGATGCCAAAAATAATCATTTTAAAATTAATAATAATTTAGTTTTTATACTATAAGTATTAAGTAATTTTTAAATATTAAGTAAGTATTAGTTAATATTATCATACCATTTCTGAACATAAATGCTGCTGCAATTGATCAAATACTGGAGACAGTAAGGAATTCAAATAATTCATGATGTAAGAGTATGGCATAATTGAAAGTACTTTGCCAACTGCACACATAACTCGTACTTTTTCTCGTGATTTAAGTACATTTCCTTTAAGAGCTTCCTAATAATGAAAAATAAAGCAATAAATAAAGTTCCCAAATTATAAAACATTACACTATAAAAAGTATATAATAGCTAGTTAGGAGAAATGTACTAAAATAACTTTTTCGCATGATTTTAGTTCATTTCTTTAAGAGCTTCCTAACAGCTAATTGATTTTAAAATGGTAAAGCCTATCTAAAAGTATTTAACCTTTAATGCATGGAGGCATTGGAAACTAAGAATTCAATGACAGAAAAGAAGGGAGATAAATAAATAAAAATAAAGGTAAAATAACACTTTTTTGGCAGAAAGCACTCACTTAAAAAGTCAGATATTTCTTAATACAGTCAAAAGTCGTTAATTCGGACACCCATAATCCGGAATGATCTATAATCCGGACCTCAAAGCTAAAATCTTTCTGCGCATGCGCCGCGTTAGCACATGCGCACAGATGTTTTACGTGTGCGCGTAAGACCTTGACTACTGCGCATATGCGTGTGCGCAAGTGCAGAATACGTTTTCGCCTGCGTGTTTAATGTATAACGGACGGTGTAAGCTAAAATTATCTAATTATCTATTTCAGTTAATGTTAATGATTGCACTGTTCCTTAATCTTCGAATTGGATCTGGCTTATTATTTTTTGCAGGCTTTAAGAGCAATTTTATAAAAGTAAACTTGAACTTTCGATTATGTCAAATAGAATTTCCGACGCTGGAACTTCCAAAGGATCTACAAAACGAAAGTATGTTTCGATGTCTAACAAACAAAAAGTGGAATTGCTTCAAAAAATGGATAAAGACATGAAGAATGTGACAGAGAGGTTAGTGAAAATGAAAAAAATTCGATTGACAAATCTCGATTGACACTCGGCACAGCAATTAACGGGACTTGAACAGCGGAACTTTGTAACTGAACAAGAAATTATGTCTTGTTATAGAATTAAAGAGAAAATATGATCACATAAAACGAAGCAACTTAAAGAACTTACATTGAAAGAAATGTTTAATAAATTAAACAAATAAATATTAAGCTTTTTTTTTTTTTTATAAATTTTGATACTCTTTAGATCATAATTGTTCTTTATTTCATAAATTACGGTTTCATATTTTTAATTTTAGAATTTCTGCATGCCATATTACGAGATTTAAACTGATGATCTATAATCCGGAAAAATCGATAATCCGGAATCGCCGAAGTCCCGACGAGTCCGGAACGACTTTTGACTGTACAACAAACATTAGAATTTGTCCTCATTTTACGTGAAAATAAATTTTCCATAAGAGTTATTAATGCCAGACTGTGCAATAAAAATTTTTTAAACAGAGCTAGAAATTTTTCATGCAAAAGTAGAGATTTTAAAGGTAATGAATTATTATGTTAATAAAATATTGTAAAAGTGTTAATTTTTTACCACAGAAAAAAGTTAACAGTAATTAATTTTAAAAATTAAATATGCTATCTAGAATTTACTAACAAGATCTAAAATGTCAGGAAGAGTCTAGCCATAACATGTAAGCTGAGTTTTGCATTGTTTTATACGTAACTGTTATGAAGTTTCAGACTAATAAGATCATGGATGCAAGAAGCAGGAAGAGATGCTGATGATATAGACAGAAACAAACAGTGGATTGTTACATGAAACCTAACAATAGTAAAATGAATATGACCAGTTGGTTCGTCCTGTGTTTAATTCTACAATCTAAAGGAACTGACTGCATGGAATTTTCGATGGTTTTTTCCTTCAAAATATAACCATAATGTTGAGTCAATTTTTTTTACAAAAAAGTTTCATAAACTTTCTTCGAAAGGGAAGGAGATATCAAATGCCTTGTCATAATGCTATCTATGCTAATCTTTCTTAAAAGAAAATGTAAGTATCTTGTATGATATCTTACTCATTGCACACTTTTACACAGTTTAATTTACTCACTTAATTTTTGATACTGACTGCTAATTATAACTAAATGTCAAGCTACAACACCACATCATTATTCATTTTATGCCAAATTAAAAATAAGATCTTCAATCTAGTCCTCCAGTCAGAGCATTCTACTGTCGTTTTCTTAAATTATCTTCAGCTATGCCATGTAACTCTGTTCCTCTAAATTAGTTATGGCCTGACCTGTTTCTTGGAACTCTTTCTCTTGAAATGTTAAATTTGAATGTTCATGGTAAGTATTCTCAACACTTTTTTAAGGTGATCTTCTGTAATTAAATATTTTTATAGAGTCTACAGACAAGCATGCAGACCAAACTTCAAGGAGAATCCAGCACTCTACCTCAAATCTCTATGAACAACCTCTTATGCCACACAGTAAAAGGAAAAAAAATTAGAATTTCTTCTTTTTATGGTTCTACCAGTGGCTGACTGGTTAAGTAATGCTGAATGCTGATAGTTCATCTTGGATTCAACCCAAGGCTTAAAAGGCTGGCTGCATGGCTGGATTTCATGGTTTTTCCCATACGCAACATGAATACCAATCAGTTTCCATTAGAGAGTTTTTCACAAAGTTATCCCTCCCTTTAGGCAAATGGCCTTTATGGTGCTTTGCCGTATTCAAAAAGTAAGTTCTAGTTCAAGTTTTAGTTTTTATGTTATGCTTCGGTTTCAAAGTATCAGAAAAATAAAATTAGACAGATGACTGTCAGTACAGTTTGCCAATAAAAAGTTTCATATCCATGCCAAAAAAATTAAAAAGGGAATTTAATATAGGACTGCTGTAATAAATTAATTGAAGTAAGCAGATTCAATGGAGTATATTAGAAAATAAAAAAAGTTAAAATGCAATATAATAAAACAGAAACTGAATAAATTGAACAAACTTGAATTTTATAATATGTTTCACATAAAGTTTTCATTTGTTAACAGTTTTTTTAATTATTTCTTGAGATTGGAAGTCTACTACTACAGTGCCAAAGTCCGAAATGCAGACTTCTAATATCTGAAATGATCTAAAATTCGGACCTCAAATCAGCAGCATCCATTTTTTAAAAATGTTTTTTATGCTTTACACTCCTACATCAAGTAGTTTTTCATAATAAAATATTTCAAGAGACCCCCATCCTTAATTTCACTTTGAATGCCAAACAGACAAATCATTATTTATTATTTTTTTCAATCACTGCACTAGTTTTTTTTATTTTAATTTTAATTTTTAACATTAATAAATGAATACCAAAGAGCATGCTAACCTTTTATGTTGACATTACGCTTCCAGAGGATTACAACTTCTGCTAACTTTGCTGCAATTTCAAGTGTTGAGTGTGTGCACAAGCAGAAATTTAACAGAAATTTCTTTTCATATGCAAAAAAGATTTCGTAAATTATACTCCTAGATAAAAAGATTAAATTTAGTGTTGTTTTAATTGAGAATGACTGATTTGTTATTCAGCTAAGTCCCAGACCGGTGCCAGAGCTGGTGCGACCGCACCTGGCAACAGAATACAGAGGAGGGAAAATTTTTTTAATTTACAGAAGATACTGTGATGCAAAATTTTAAGAACTTAGGAAGGTGCTTGGCAGCAGAATTTCTGACCCACAGAGACTGCAATAGGCCACAAAATGTCTAGTGCCAACCCTGGATAAGTATATGTGAAAATTTATTTATTTGGGACTCAGATAAGCATATGTGGGAGATAGTCGTAAGTATAACAAATAACTAAATTATTAGTATAATTCAGGCTTAACTTCATCAACATGTGATAGAAGCAAGACAATATTTAGCAGAACAACATGTGTTTAATTGCCAATCTCATGATACATCATTAACAGGGTATAGCGAACGATAGCTAAGCTTTATGATGATAGCCACAAATTCGAAGGTTTTCAGATATTGCAACAAAAAGCAAAATAATACAACAGATGAAGAAGCTGAGAAAATTTTGCCATCCAATAGTGATGATGAACCCAATGATTCATTGGAAAAGCCAACCGAGTATCCGCAAATGAATGAAGAACCTGGAAATGATAATCATGGAAATTCTGTACAGAAAAGACCAGCGCGAATTACGAAGCCCCCAGAAAAATTAAAAGATTATGTAGCATACAATACAAATGAAGGATTACCTAAGACGTATGATGAAGCTATAGAATCTGCTGAAAGTGAATTCTGGCTATAAGCAATGACAGAAGAATTGAGTTCAATGGAGGCTAATGAAGTCTGGGAATTAGTTGAAAGACCCATCGATAAGAAAGTTATTAAAAACCGCTGGATATTCTCAAAAAGGGATGAAAAGGATAATTTAGAAACAATTTACAAAGCAAGACTAGTAGCAACCGGATTTAATCAAAGAAAAGGAATTGATTATGAAGATGGATTTAGCCCAGTAATGAGACTTGCAACCTTTAGAACATTACTATCGATTGCAGTTTACAAAAACTACAAAATAAGATTTTTCGATGTAAAAACTGCATATTTAAATGGATACTTGGATAAACCAATTTACATGGAACAACCACCTGGCTTTATATCAGATCCGAAGTAATCTAAGTAATAAGTATATCTTGTAAAAAAAAAGTATATATGGATTACCACAATCAGGCAAATGCTGGTATGATGAATTATGTAAAGTTCTTACAGAAAAGAATTTAACTAGACTAAAGTCAGATCTGTGTATTTATATTTATAAAGATAAGATCAAATATTTTATCATAGCAGTATATGTGGATGACTTAATGGTGATTGGAAATTCAAATTCTGAGATAAGTGACATCATTTCTCAACTATCTAAATCATTCACATTACGAGAAGTCACTCAAACACAAAAATTTTTAGGAATATACATCCAGCAAGAATCTGGAAACTGAAAATACTCAGTCAAGAAAACTATATAACTAAAATCTTAAAAAACTTTGAAATGGATGAATGTAAACCTATCAAGACTCCAGGAATATTGGGTGAAAATCTTGATGACATAGCATCTTCACCACCTGTGTCGAAGACAAAATATCAAGAAGCATTAGGTTCATCGATGTACTTAGCAACAGGCACAAGGCCAGACTTAGCTTTTGCAGTAAGTAATTTGTCAAGATATAAAAAAATTCCCAGAGAGAAACACTGGAAAGCTGTAAAGAGGATATTTAGATATATTAAAGGAACACAAAATACTTGTTTAGTGTATACTTCAGACAATGGGAAATTAAATGCTACATCAGATGCAAGTTGGTGTACCACTGAAGATGGAAAATCATTTGGAGGTTATTTCATTAAATTAGGCAAAAATTTCATAAATTGGAAGTGCAACAAACAAAGAATAGTTGCTCTATCTACAATGGAAGCTGAACTTTTAGCATTCTGCAAATGTACATGTGAAGTTAAATGGTATATCTTTTTACTTGAAGAATTGGGTCAAGATGATCTAATTGACAAACCAATAGGAATTAAAACAGACTGTCAAGCATTAATAGATTGGATTAAAAAACCAAAACAAAGTAGCAGTTCAAGGCACATTAATAGAAAATATTTCTTTGTTAAGGATGAATATGAAATGAATCAAATCATTCCTCAGTTTGTGTGTTCACAAAATCAAGAAGCGGATATTTTAACAAAGTATCTACCTAGGGTGAAATTAAAAGATGAACTATTAAAGTATGGACATGACTGACTGATTAAAATTATATCTTTAAATACAAATAAGGGGGGAATTGATAGTATTTGTTTATAAAGCATAATTTTAAGTTTTAATATTTTGGCAACATAATATTAAATTGTAAAAAGAATGAGTTAAAAATGTATCTGGAAGAGAGAGTTTTTCATTATTATGGTTTGGTAGAATGTGGTAAGATTTCTTTTATTGAAGTTTTTGTATTTATCAAGATTTTCTACACTTTTTGTTTAATTTATAAAACACATTAAAAAGTAAGCTAAATTTCTATAAGCGTATTTGTATTTTTTTAATTTTGGAAAGGAGGGGCAGATAGCATCATCGCTAGATAATGAAAGAAATTCCTGTGGGAAAAAAATTTTAGGAAGTTCTAAGGGCCAAACAATGCCCTCCCCAAATAAAAAGTTTCAGAATTTAATTTTCTTATAGGCTTTTTTTGAAATATTCTTTATAAAGCTAAAAGTTTGTTTAGATCTAATACTACAAACAGCAACAATCTCCATACTGACTTCAACTTTTACACTAACAGAAATTTTACCGTGCAGTTTTTCTGTTAAAGCCATCTCAATTAAATTGGTGAAACAGTTGACTTTCATTTCATGTTTTAATATAAAATTTAATACTTGTCTGTACAAGACATGTTTTCTGGGAATAAATAAACAAGGGGGAAAAAAGGCAAATCAAAGACAATTTGTCTTTGGCAGCCTCAAAGCTCACCACTGATGCTATCACTAAACAACTTCCATTTCAATTAACAGAACTAAAATGAATTAAAAAGTGTAATAAAATAATAAAAAGATGCTGCCTATTAAAAAAGAACAATCATCCACATTATTTGGCAACACATTTATCCAGATCATGTATTCCTACTTGTGCTGATGACCATGACTGCAAAGACAGTACATGTCATGCTGCAAAGATAGTACAAAATAATATCTTCAGTAAATAAACTTTCATGTCTTTCTTATTTGCTAAAAATATGTTATTTTCTAACTATGTAAATAATCAACAAGGAAAATTAAAAAACTAATATATTCATTTTTCAGTAATATGCATTAAAGTTCTTTTTTTTACTTACCAAACATGCATGAAGAATCTCTTCAGCAAAAGGTTGCATGGCAGAATAACAGTTGGTGATATCTTTTAAAGCAAATGTAGCAGAGACAGCTATTTCAGCATTTTGCAAACCCATAAGGAGAAGTGGAACAACATAGCCCAAAACATTAGGATGAACATTGATCCATTCAGCATAAGCACCTACAAAATATTTTAAAAACAAAATGAAAAAAAAAAAAGGTTACAGATTTGAAAAATACTTTATTTAAAGCTATTATTGTGTGTAAGACTGAATGCACAAGTCTAATGAAAAGTCAATAAAATTTATTCTTATAACAAGAAATAAAACAAAATGCTGAAATTTTTCCTCAGAGAAATTCGTACAATATCACACCGTAGTTAAATTTTAAACTATTAAAACGTTAAATAAAACACAATTCAAAGTGCAGAGAAAGCTAATCTATTCAACAAATTTACCGCAGCTAAGTAAACAACAACAAATAAACAATTGAACTGAGATGTTTTTCTCCGGCATTTGAAAGCTTTTTAATCATGCACGAGAACATTCTAGTAATTTTTATTTTCTCATTCCTGGAAATCAAAAGAGTAGAATTACAGTTACAGCTAACACACAATTGCATTTATTCAATTTAAATATAAATTATAAACTATCTATTTATTAAATGCTAAATGCACGTAATTTTTAATGTGAATACCTCAAGATGGCCTACAGACATTGCACTCTCATCTCCTATCCACTGATATGCGAGAAGGAACACTCACACATTTAACAATGCCTCTAAAACAGGGATGCGCAACCCACAGCTTGTGAGACCTTTTGTTGTGGCTCATATGCATATCTGGTCCCTTTTCAATATTGTAAAGTTAAGATGATAGGAAATGACAAATTCCAGCTATGCTGCACACTCAAATGCGTGCCTGACCAAACCCTCCCTGAATATAAATTGTTAGAGGGCTTTGAGCCAATACACTATTTTATACTAGAAGTTGCGCAGCAACAATGCTCTCAATATTCTAAACATTATCACTGATATCAAAGTGGGTTGCTTCAGATACTTTGTTTTAATTCACTGACCCTTATGAGTAACTTTGTCATGCAACATCTAGTTATTTTATAGAACCACTGTCAGCCTTATGCTGTAGCCTAAATGGAGAACACGAAATTAATTTTTGAAATTTTATGCGAAGTAGCTGCTTTGGTGGCTTCATATAGGTATAAAAATATTCACATCATCTATGCACATTAATCATTAGATTTAATACATATTAATGCTACTATAGTTATCCTAATCTATATCATCATATGATCAAGGGAGGGCATATCGAGAATTATATTCATTCCACCGGAAAGTTCTGTCCATTTTTGGAATAACACAAAATACAAATTTTTCTTACAGTCAATAAACTTCATTAAATAATAAAATTGCCTTTATTATTAATGATTTTTTACCAGTGTGAGGGAATATGTACATCCCATTTTTAAAAAATGTTGTACCTTTTGATGTGAAAAATTGAACCAGTGCTTTTTTGATATCTTCATTTTTGAATTTTTTTACCCTTCAAAAAATTTTGTTAGGACAAAAACAAGTGGTAGTCAGAGAGTACTAAGTCCAGCAAATATGGTGGATGCAAAAGAATTTCCCAGCCTAGTTCTGCAATTTTTTTATGAGTCCCCAAAGCAGCATGTGGCCCGGCATCATCATCATGCAGTATGATATCTTTTCTATTGAACATTGCCGGCCTCTATTCTTGGTCTTTAAATTATCCAGTTGCTGACAATACTTCTCAGAATTGAGCTTTTCATTCGGTTTTAAATGCTCATAATGTATTGGTCCTCGAATGTTCCACCATATACACAACATTCTCTTACTCAGAGTCAAATTTAGTTTAGAGGTGGAAGGGCTAGATTTTCCGGGCTCACAATATGCTTTTTACCTTATGAGGTAATTCACTTTTCATCCCCAATTATCATCGGTTTAAGAAGGGCTCGATTTTGTTCCAATCAAGCAGAGATGTGCATATGATGACTCGGTCATCCAAATTTTTCTAACTGAATTCATGTGCCACTCATCTTGAATATTTCCACACCAATCCTATCTTCCAAGTATGGTTCAAAATGGTTTGCTGAGCTGAATTAAGCCTGTCTGCGAACTTTGATGTTGTCAGAAAAGAATCCTGCTCCACCATGGTCTTAACAACATCATTGTCAATCAAAGATGATTGCCTGAATGAGAATGTGGCTTATTAGAAAGGTTGAAATCACCTCTTTCAAATTTTTCAAACAATCTTCTGCATGTCCTATCAGAAACTGTACCTTCACCAAACATTTGCAATAAATTTCTACATACTTCTGTAGCATTTCTTCCTTGTTGAAATTTATATAAAATACAGTGGCATAAATGAACTTTATCAGTGGCCATGGGTACACAGTCGCTTCACACTTAAGACTAACATGAATCAACTCTGTTTTAGTTAATTTGCTATGTCAGTACGTATACATTCAGCAATAAAAATAGGCAGCCGAACATGCGCCAAATAAACATGTGCTTACATGTTGAAAATTGTTGTCATATAAACAATAGAACGAATAATTTCAATGATGATTGGAAAGAGAAATGTTTTTTCATTGATTTTAAGAACAAATGTGTTTGTTTAATTTATGGTTCAGCAGTTTATTTTTTGAAGGAGGGAACAACATAAAATGCCATTTTACAACAGGCCATAAAAAATATAACGCTAACAGCAATCTAAGAAAACATAAAGCTAAAGAATTAAAAAGCACATTCATTGCCCAACAATAAATGTTTACTGCAAATAAAATGAACGCTGCTACAATTGCATCATTTGAAGTTGTATATACACTTGCTTTTTCACACACACACACGCACACACACACACACACACACAAAAGGAAAAAAAAACTTTGAGGATGGCAACTAAATTAAAGAAACAATGCTTACTGCATTGCAGATTTTATTTCAAGAAGCTAAAAATAAGAATAAAATTATATCAGCTATTCATGATGACCAATTATCCAGAAATTCCATCACTTGCAGAATAGAAGCTATGTCTGAAAATGTTAGAAGACAGATAAAAGATGGTTGAAAAAAAAATGAGTTTCTTTTTCACAGTGTGACAAATCAACAGATATTTGTAATATAACTTAAATAATATTTTCATAAGAATTGCTCAGTGTAGAAAGGTATATTTTCAGTTTTGTTATTAAGACTGCAATACATGTGGAATTCAAAACTTTTATTTAGGTCTAAATAAACCATTACTTAATTATTATTAATTAATTATAAATTAGTTTTGATGCACACATTATATTAACATACATGAATTTAATGATATATTATAATATTCCACTCTGATTGTTGAATTTATTTCACAGCCTTTGACTGTTAATAAAGATTACCTTCTTTCACAGTTAAATTTGTTTGCCTTATCATTTAGAAATCTGGCATTGATTTTTAAGTCATTTCAGTTGTTGAGTTTTCAGCAATATTATAATCAGCAGAATGAATTTCAAATATAAGGCATGTGGGCCATAAACCAACACGTGATCATTCTACAATAGGTGGAAAACTGGTTTAAAAACAAAACTAAAAGTTGTTATGTAATACAGTCAAAAGTCGTTAATCCGGACTCGTCGGGGCTTCGGCGATTCCGGATTATCGATTTTTCCGGATTATAGATCATCAGTTTAAATCTGGTAAAATGGCATGCAGAAATTATAAAATTAAAAATATGAAACCGTAATTTACGAAATAAAGAACAATTATGATTTAAAGGGTATCAAAATTTACAAAAAAAAAAAAAGCTTAATATTTATTTGTTTACTTTATTAAACATTTCTTTCAATGTAAGTTTTTAAGTTGCTTCGTTTTTTATGTTATAATACATTCTCTTTAATTCTATAAACAGACATAATTTCTTGTTCAGTTACAAAGTTCCGCTGTTCAAGTGATATAATTGCTGTGTCGAGAATACCGACAAATTTGTCAATCGGAATTTTTTCGTTTTCAATAACCTCTGTCACTTTCTTCGCTATCGGAAGCGAATTATAATGACGAGGCATTTGATTTAAATCATATCAAAGACGAGATGAAATACTACATTGAGTAAGCAATTATAAGCCAAATAAAATAAAAAATCTGCCCTTAAGATAAGGATAGTGTTGCCAGATCAACTTCCAATTCAATGCACGCCGCCGCAGCGTTAAAGATAAACAAAGTTTAGATAAACAAACGTTAAAGTTAGATAAACTTTATCCATTTTTTGCAGCAATTCCACTTTTTGTTTAATGGACTCCGAAAGATACTTTCGCTTTGTATATCCTTTTACATATTAGTAAATATATATCGGAAATTCTATTTGACATAATCGAAAGTTCAAGCTTACTTTTATAAAATTGCTCTAACAAACAGTCTGCAAAAAATAATAATCCGGATCCAATTCGAAGATTAAGGAACAACGCAATCTGCAAGATTAACTGAAATAGATAATTAGATAATTTTAGCTTAGCTTATCCCGTCCGTTATACATTAAACGCGCATTCGTAAACGTATTTTGTGCACGCGCACACGCAAATTAGCAGCGGTAAAAGTCTTACGCGCATGCGTCAACGCGACGCATGCGCAGAAAGTTTGTAGCTTTGAGGTCTGGATTATAGATCATTCCGGATTTTGGGTGTCCGAATTAACGACTTTTGACTGTATTGTTTCTTATTTTTTGTTTATCAATAATTTGCTGCTTCTTAATTCAGTTTTTCAGTAATGGAATTTTATTTGTCCAGGTAAGTAAATGTTGTAAGTTAACTTCTTTTAAGCTATAATTGTTAACTTAAAATTTAAGTTTGGTAGTGCTAAAATTTTTATCGTTTGAAGTGAAGTTTGGTTTTTAACTTTTAATTTTTGTTCAAGAACTTAAATTTACCTCTTTTCTTTCTTTCTTTCTTTCTTTTTTTTTTTTTTTTTTCCCTCTGTTTTTTGAGGTTGTTTTGGTTAGACTATTAAGGTTATTTAACTTTCAAAGTTTTCTGTTTGTTACACTAGTTGATGTGTAAATTTAATTAGTTTTTGTTTAATGTTTACCCCTTTTTCTGGTAAAGTTTATAAATCCATAATTTCTGACTCTGGTGGTAATGCCAGCTAAAGGCAATGACAGGTAATGCCAGTGTCGAAGGAACGTAATTTTTAAGAATGATTACTCATTTGAATAACTGTGTAATTAAAGTATTTGAACAGTTATAAAGAAAAACCTTTTTGTATTTGATTGAATTGAAATGTCAAGTACTAGATTTAATATTCAGTACTTATAATTTGTTTAACTGTGATGAAAGTTATATAATAGAATTGATTCAGTGCTTTGTGTTAACATTAATTTTCCAACAAATTGTTGTTAGGGAAAAACACAGGGTTCGTACACATTTCTGCACACGGAAATTAAGGACTTTGAAGGACTTTTAAGGACCATTAATGAAAAAAATTAAGGACCTATGAGCAAATGGGAACTGAATAAATTTAATTAAAAATATTATTCTATGCCTTAATTTCACTTTTGTAATATCATCCTAAAAATAAAACAGATCCCTAAGTAGTATGCATTATTACTAAACATGAATTAATGAACATAATTATTAATAAGTTTGAGAATAAAATAAAACTCCATGCAGTTTACCAAGTAGCATTAAATATTTTACATTTATAATGGGTTTGACATATTTGAAAGAAGATATGTGACATTTACGTTTTACTAATACCGTAATTTCCGGAAGAAACGCCACGGCGTTTACATGTTTAAAACTTAAATTTTCAGCGGGTGCGGCGTTTAGGTGCTCTGAAAATAAAATATTTCCTATGATGGTCATTGTACATAGTTTGGATGGCCTTGTCACTGTGCATAGACTGGTGCTGTTCCCACACAAAAGACCACTCAGTTGCTTTTTGCGAACATTATTTTGTTTACGTTCTTTCCCTTGAACGGACCTACTTGCCTTATTCACCCTAAACGAGATCTCAGAACAATAACTTTCTTCCCCCTTTCAAATCAACATTCTCATCAGTTTGAATAGTCTCTCTCCTCTGTGATTTGATGAATCTTCCAGGACCCATCCTCTCCCCACCCCTGCCTTTTCTGCAATTTTTTTCAAAGGCGGACACGACTCCAACTGCCTCGCAATAACGAACTCTGACGTATTTCCCCTTTAGCATGAATGGATTTTTATTGGCATTCTGCCAAATACAGATCCCATCAGTTTGGGTACAAGTACTTGTTGGATAGTTTTTAAGTAAGAAGGGAGCGGAAAATTTTTGAAAATGTCTCTAAACGGCACAGAAGCTATACATTTCTTACATTTAATTTATTTTTGAGTTATGGTTTCATTTCATGCATTTTTCTTAACTGGTATGTCATATATCAGGACGATGTCACGCGCAATTTAATCTATTGCGGCGTTTACGCTGATGTGCGTTTCTGTGTAATTTTAATTTTTTTCCCGCCATTTTTCTCGAGTGTGGCTTTTACACTGATGCGGCCTTTCTTCCGGAAATTACGGTAGTTAGCTTTATGTGGATTTTTTTATGTCTCATTTTGTCACATACTTGGTCAGTCTAGAGGAGAGGTTCTCAACCGGTCGTACGAAAGAAAAAAATAGGTGGTATACAAACAAGCAAAGTATTTTGAGCTATTTATTTCAAAACAGTAAGTGGTAGCAGTACTTTGTAATAGTGGTACTAAAGGTTTTCAATTTTTGTTTAGATGGTACGTTAGTCAAAAGGTTGAGAACCGCTGGTCTAGAGGTTTAGTAAATAGCAAGTAGATTTTATGTCAAATGGCATAGGTTAAAATGAGAAGCAAGATCATAATCAGCATCATTCATAACAAAAAACTGAATGTTATCACCGCTGCTGCTTGTCTAGAGAGAGCTGCTGATTAGAACAAACCTGAAAGGCTTGATGTAGGCACGGTTGGCAAGTGCTGAAAGTTAATTAGGCTCTGTTTGATGCAGTTAGTGTCATAGCTTTGTGTAGAGTTCCAGGGGTTGTAACCCAGTTAATATACTTTCAGGTTCCAATAAGCCATTAAAGTACCAGAGGTGTTAAGTTGTTTTGCATTATTTTAAGTCTCACTAGATGCAAAGAATAAGTTATACTTGAATTTCTACATTTTTGTGTTTTATCTTGTGATCACAGTGAGTATTAATGAAAGGCAGTAACTCGCTTTAATATGTACAGATGTAAGCAGTTAGTTATAAATAATTAAATTAGGTAAATAGTTAACCTTAGTCATTACGGATTTACATGGCCACTATTAAATTTTTTAACAGTATTTAAAAATGTTAAAAAAGTTAAGCCTATTAAAATCAAAATCTAATAAATTTCACAGTTTAAAATGCATGTAATTTAAGACACTGATTCTTAAAGGATATTAAAATAATTACGCATTGAAAGCTACAAAACATTTATGTTTCCAGGTAACAACAAAACCCAACAAAATATTTATCCATTCATTTTAATTTGAAGCCTTCCCAGTCTTCGCAATCATTTTGTCTAGTTCATATCGATTTCCTTCTCTATTTAAGCATCTTTTCTAACAATTAGAGATTTGTCTTCAATATGCAAACCAACCAATGCTCTCACTGGTAGTTTCTGCGTGCTTTATCTCCTAACCTGTCAACCTCTCCACAATGTACCTATGAGGGTTTATTTGATCTGGTAAAAGTTAAATAGTCCAAAACCCCCGATAGATGTGAAGCAAATTATCACTATGTCTGAAAGTAACTACAATATCAGACAAAGGTTTAAATAAGCCTCTTATTTAAAAAGAACAAACATAAAGGCATGTTCTGATGCTTCAATTACATCTCACGGTGATGTAATTAAACAAGAACAGTCAAATTCAAACTAAAAATGTGGACTAGTGGTCAAAGATTATAAAACTTAATTTTCATTTAATCTGGTCAGTAATTCTATCATATGAGGAAACAGAAATGGAAAATTATACTAAAGGCTGAAATCATAAACAATTGTGTAATTTACATAATAATAACTGCACATATCTTTGAAGAATAATTTTCTTTATGTATTCAGTTTCTTTCTTCAGCATGTTTCCTTTTCATTTTAGATTTTTTGGATTTAATTGAGGATTTCTGATTCTGTTTTTCTAAAAAACACTAAATGCATTTAGAATGTATAGAAAACATGACTAAATTAATTTCTTTAGTAATGTGGATTTCAGAAGAAATATGAAATACATATTGTAAAGGCCAGTTACAGAGCTGGTGTGGCAGAATCTTTAGAATTTAGTGACACACCAAAAAACAAAATCTAGAAATGGCAAAACTTTTAGAATTTAGACAGGCATTGGAAGCAGAATTTAGAAAGGCACTATGTAGTCGAATTTAGGATCCAGAGATTGCATCAGATGGGAAAATGCTTAGTGCCAGCTCTGTGTATTATGCATTAAGACATATTAGATGGATCTTTTAAATTGTAAGTTTTCAATTTCTTTATTAATTAAAAAAAAAAAACACCTTTCTATAATGCCTGCCCAATTGATAAGATTAGAAGCATTTTTGATATTTTCCATGCTTGTGTCTAGTGAAAAGTAGAGAAAATAAAGGGAAGATAAACATGTTAAGAAAAAGATTCTAGTATCAGGAGTAAAACATTCAAATATTATGTCTTCATTGTTCTTCCAGACGTTCTCCAAAAAGTAAGAAATTCATTGGAAACTTTCTGTAAAATACATCCATTACGCGTTGATACCATGGAGACATTTTTCATTTTGTCACATATTTATCGAATCTTCTAGAATCGTATGTCTATAAATCTTGCCTTCAAATCTTTCTAAATTTTCCAAGCTGCAATGTCAAAAATACTACAGAAAAATTATCCCAACCAATTCTGTAACAGCAAAAAGGCAGAAATATTTTCGGGGAAAAAAAAAAAAAGAGGCAAAAATGCAAAATTAATTTTATAGAGAAAACTGATGCATATTCTGAGAATTTTGAATATTCTGAGAAAATTACATGGGAAATATGCTTACTATGAAAAAATTAAAAACAAGATATTTTTAATTAATTACATAGTTAATTTTGTTTTTGCTAAGAGATGTTTCATAAATTATGCTTTATAGCATTATACCTTGTTTATTTTTCAGATACAAAATATTGTATAAGTTGCCAAAATGAAACTTTATAATATGACAGCGAAAATAAAAATGTTTTATTTTAATGTTATTTTTTAAATGTAATTCCAATATATTACATATAAAATCTATCAAAGTTATGATGTTTTAAAAAAATCGTCGAAAAATTCTCAGATTTCGGAATTAAAAATTTTCTATAGAAAATTATCTTAAAATCGCCAAAATGTTGATAAGTCGCCAAATTTAGAACCATTTAATAAAAGAATTCACATCCTCAAAAGCAAAAATTGTTTAAGAGCTCTTTATTGCAAACAATGAATTTCAAAATGCTTATGTTTCACTTCTTGCTTAGGAACTCGAGTATCCCATCATATTAGAAATAGAAACAAATTAATACCCATTATCCCATTCAAAAGATAACCATATACGTCAGTGAATCGCCAAAAATATTCCTCTAAAATGCTAATTCACATTCAAAATGGCAGCCGTAAAAACAGACAGAAATTTCAGATGATTAAATTTAAGAACCTGGTTTTGGCCAAAATTAAGGACTTTTAAGGACCAAAAATCGATTCCAAAAAAAATTAAGGACTTTTAAGGACTCTTAAGGACCGTACAAACCCTGAAAACATTCCTATTTTCAGAATTTTATGAGAAATTATTTTCTTCTCTCTGGCAGACAGTGTCCATGACTTTTTCTTGTCAAATGTTTGACTATATGGATTATATATTTGCAGGGGTGAAACTGTTGGCTGTTTAGCATCTCCATATGTAAAATTGAATCCTGCTGATTTTCTGGCCAGGCTAGCTCAGAAATGTGTTTACTTTGCTATTCAGCAGAGGGGAGTTTGACCTCTCAGAACTAGCCTTGAAGTACTTCATTTGCAATTAAGGAGAGGAAAAGAGGAGACTTTTGGAAGCCAGATAATCCTTTTGCCCGGTGAATCTCGGGTTCGCACTGAGGAGGCTGCTGGAATTGGGCCACCGTTTTTCCCTCACTTATCGCCAAGTTCAAGGTTTCCGCCAACTGAAGAAAAAAGTCTGTGCAGGTTTTTTCAGAGAGAGGCAGCTGCTGGAATCGAAGAAGGTTCATAATTGCCTGCCGTGAACAAGCAATGACGTCACCTTTGAGCTGCAGACCATGGCCTCGACACCTCTGGATCCTCCCGAGGAACCCAGGAGAATGATTGGACCAGGAGCGACTGCAGTGCTCCCTATAATTTGTTGAATATAACTTTTTTTTTTTTTTTCCCGTTCTAGTTACAGCCTCTGTTTGGAATGGCTTCATTTTTGTCTGTGTGTGAACTTCCTCCTTTGGCATTCCTCCGGGTTGCAACTGCACACTACAGTTTTGTTTACAGTTTAAAGTGCTTAGTGTCTAATTTGCTGTGTCAGCGGAAAAAAAAATGAATGATAAAAATTTTTACCCCTCCTCGGTGTAAACCGATTCCTTGCTTACTTATTTAGTACTTAAGACATGCTGAACCCTACAAAATCTGGGTATTTAATGAGTTCCGGTGTCTGCCAGCCTGAAAGGTGTAATTTAAAAAATTTGATTTTCCTTGTTTTTTTCACAGTTGTGTGTTTGTGTTAAAGGAAACAGTTGTGTAGGCCCAACAATGGTATTCAAAATAGAATGGAAGGTATGCTTTATATTTTGTAATATTTAAAATAATCCACCTAGAAGATGCCCACTACAATGTAACTTTTTGAAATAACTCTAATATTTTAATCTAAATAAATGCTTCAGATTTACTTTAACTTATTTGTTTGTTTTAATTATTTACTAGTTATATACTGGACTATAAATTCTTCTTTAACTGGGTTTTCATTGTTACTTCACAATGCAATTGAATTTGTTTCTTTATTGTGTTATCTATGTTGCTTCAATTTTAGTGATACTACATGTGTTTACACGTTACACCTTGTTCAGTACATATTCTATTTGACTTGATAAACTCTAATTATGTTCAATGAGTAGTTTTTACATTTATTTATAGTGCTAATAATATTTATAAGTAACATGGTGTATATATGTTACGGTGAAACACCGAAATCTGGAGAATGTCGACTTTCACCGGTGAATGTCATTATTCACATAGTCTCTTGGTGTATGTCTGAAATATTTTACAAATACTCTTATTTCTGACTTACACCGGTCAATGTTGACATTCACCATATACTAATGGTGAATGTTGAACATATAACAATATTATATTTTCTTCTCCATAATTCAGTCGCGAATAAACGCACTTGAAAGTTGAAATAAGAACTTAAGAACATGAGAACCTAAAACACACAATACATTCAAAATGAGAAAGAAAAATAATAGAAGTTAAAAACTTACTTAATTATACAGTACGTTTTAAATGAGAAAATAAAATAACAGTAATAAAAAACTTACTAAATTGTATGATTCAAATTTTATTTATTGCAACAACTTAAACTATTATGGCACTTTATGACCTCTCTTTTCGACTTTCACCAGAGCATATCTGTGATTGTCGACATACACCGGTGAGGGTCCGAATATAGAAGAATGTAGTGAAATATTCAGTCTTTCACCGACGTATTTGGTGAATGTTGATATTCTCCGGTGAAAGTCGACATTCTCCAATTTCGGTCTTTCACGGTAACATATATATATATATATATTTACCAAATGACTTATAATTTTATTTTTAAACTATGTTTTCTTCCCAGTTGTAAAGTGAACATTCATAAAATAGCCAATATTAGTGTTAACATGCATAATTAGTTTTGTACTAATTTTGCTGTATACAAATTACTCATGTATAGACTAAATAAATAAGTGATACTTAGATCTTGATATTGAATTCCGCAAGGAATTTTAATAAGCATAAACAATGACATTTTGGAATTTTGTAAATAGAAAGAAAAAGTAATTTCAATTAAAAAAGAACATTCACATCCTAGCTCTTAAAATTTTGATTCTGCTTTGTTTAGACTGTATATATATTAATATGCTATAGATTTTTCATTTCACAAAACATGATAGAGTAGATAAAGCGAACACACTCTAAGACAACCATTTATTTTCAAATATATAATTTTGTTTATGCTTTGAAGAAGTAATGACACATAATTACTTTTATGTGCTCTCAGTTCAAATTTATGTTATTTGCAGTAAGCTTTGAATTGTTTATTCTTTCTAGCCAGTTCTCAAACACAGGTATTTTAAGCCAAGCATTTTGGAAGGTTGTTCCAAACTATTCTGTGTTACTCTTATTCATATTTTATTCAACACGGCAAATAAGCTGACTTAAATTTCGTAATCCTACTCACAGAACATCAAAATATGAAACAAAGTAATCTATGAAATAGACAAAAATACCAGCTACGAGTTCTAGTATCGAGAGAATATGCTACACTCGACAATGTATCACTTGTTACCAACTTTATTTAAGGCTAAATAAGTTACTTAATTATTATTAACTAATTTTGATACATACATTGCATTAACATATATGAATTTTATGATATATTAAAATAATTTTTAAGAAGTAAAACTTAGCATAAGAAAAATAATGGGGTAGCAGAAAGTTCACAACATAGCATAAACATAAATTTTAGTAGCACAGGTTTGTCAAAAAACAGCAAATTTTCGAAAAATCACATGATCTGGCAACACTGTTTTAAATACTTGAGTAGAATACAAATAATACAACTGGGAGTTTAGTTGATTTAATTCTAAATTATTGATTCTAAAAATAAAATAGCTCAATTTTAATCATTTCAATAAATGATATAAAATGAATAAATATTTCAAGGAACTTCCTTTAGCCTTTCTAGTTAAAAATAATCAATGGACTAATCACTGCTTTGTGCTCTCTGTTCAAATTTAGAATAACTTGCTTAATAGCAAAGAATTTATGAGAAACTGGTAGCACATCTCTTGTTCAGCTTTCCAAATAGTAGTAATTTTTGGTTACATTTCTCTTAATGAGACAAATCAAGTTACTACTCTAATTCAATCATTTAAAATGAAATGTTTACATAATATTGAAAACATAATAAGTATCACTTCACATTTAATTTTATAAAGTTTTCTTTAATTATGATTATCATATTATGAACTAATTGTTTTACCTATAGCTTCCATAGTGGCAGAAATTATTCTTATATGCTGCAGAGGAACATTTCTTAGGTGAGCCATAAACATAGGTAGGTAACATGATTCTTTTACATCAACACTTTCAGCAATTTCTTTAAATGCAAAAAGACATGCTTCCAGGTACTGGAATTCAAAAGCATATTAGAAAATTGGGGGGGGGGATAACAGCTATTTCTAGAAAAACTTTAAAAAATTTATACATGAATAAACCTAAATTAAGATTTTTATCTGGTCATACACAATTTTGTAGATGTTAACAAAATTTTGATTTCATGAATTTGTCAGGAAACTACTGGAATCCCATGGCAATTCCTACATGGTAGCAGCTACATTAATTACTTATGAATCTGCATATATTTATTAACTGTTAATGAAGAGACAGAGCTTTACAGATGATTCTTCTACACAGTCTTATCATAACAGCATGATTTTTACCATGACATCCCTTTAATGAGCAGTTGCTTAATTAGCATAGTTCTGAACACAAAGAATAATGTCTAAATTAAAATTCCTGTTTATGATATCTTATACTGGGTTTTATTATATTTGGACAAAACTCATTACATTTGAGGCTAGAGGAAACTTTTTAAAATTGGCCCATCAACAGAAAATATATACAGCGCTGGCCAAAACTGTGGACGCTTTTGGAAATTTTTATGTTTTTGAACTTTGTATGCTTATAGAAAATGTTATGTTTCTCAAAATGCAAACTTGTATATATCATTTTAAAGAGAATTTATTACTGAATTCGATACAAAACACAAAATTCAATTATTTGCAATACAAAAAATAGTTATATGTACTTTAATATAAATAAAAAACAAAGTTATGAAGTGGTTTGTAATGTCTACCTTTCCTAGTTAATCACTGTTCTTGTTCTGAAAACCAATCAAATGTTAGTAACTGCCAGTAGAAGCTAACATCATGTTTACACTTGAAACAATTCATTATTCTGCTTTGTTCTGTAGAAGGAGGACCTGTTTCTTATACACTGCAATTAGAAGTAGGAATTTTTGTAAAAATTTTTAATATTTAGTCAAGAAGCAATGACATCAATTAAAAGAGTAGATTGGACACCTAGAAAGAGATGTAATATTATTGTGTTACGAGAAAGTGGTCTTTCCTATGCTGAAATTGCAAGACAGGTGGGTGGTTCAGTGACTACATCTGGAGTCTGAAAGTTTTGTTTACGATATCAGGAGACAAATTCAATAAAAAAACAAAGAAGGAAAAGGCTGAAAAAGGTGCACCACATCTATTGATGACAGAAGAATAAAAAGACTATGTCTCCAAGATAGAAAAATGTCATCAGCGGCCATCAGAAGTGATCTGAATGATGCTGGTGTTTCTGTCAGTTCAAGAACAATCAGGAGAATATTAACAGATGTTGGACTGAGAGGTAGAATTCCACGAAAAAAGCCTTATCTTAATTTTCAGCAACAGAAAAAAAAAAAAAAAAAAAAGACTACAGTGGGCAAAGGAACACATTAATTGGACAGATGATCAGTGGGCACAAGTTATATGGAGTAATGAAACCAAGATATCGTTATTCAGTAGTGATGGGCGAAAATATGTAAGACATAGAATAGGAGAAGAGCTACATCCTGACTGCATTCAAGCAGCTGTGAAGAACCCAGTTAGTGTTATGATTTGGTCATGCATGTCAGCAGATAGTACTGGTCGCCTTCATGTCATCGATGGGACACTGAATGCCAGAAAATACATTGACACTATTCTAGAACCAAAACATCTACCTTCCATCAAAGATTTCTTTCCCAACAATGCTTCATTTATTTTTCAGCAGGATTTTGCTCCTTGCCACACGGCCAAAATATCGAAAGAGTGGTTTCGTACAAAGAGCATTAAATTCTTGTCATGGCCAGGAAACAGTCCTGACCTCAATCCTATCGAAAATTTGTGGCACCATTTGAAAACTCTTGTCCGAATGAGGTGCCCATCAAATAAAAGGGAACTGATTGAGGCTATAATTGTTTCCTAGCATCATGTAATAACGAAAGAAGAGCTTAAAACTCTTGTCAGCTCAATGAAATGTCGATGTGAAGCTGTAATAAAAAATAAAGAGTACCCTACTAAGTACTGATAACTCACTGCAATCATCACTATCTAATGTATATCGATAACTATTATCGTTTAACTTTTTTTGTATTGCAAATAATTGAATTTTGTGTTTTGTATTGAATTCAGTAATAAATTCTCTTTAAAATGATATATACAAGTTTGCATTTTGTGAAATGTAACGTTTTCTATAAGCATACAAAGTTCAAAAGCATAAAAATTTCCAAAAGTGTCCACAATTTTGGCCACCACTGTATATTGAAAACGAAAGACAGAATAATGACAATCGTGTTTTTTTTTTTTTTTTTTTTTTTTTTTTTTTTTTCCCCAAATGTAGAATATAAGAATTTTGTTCTGTTTTCACAAAATAGGAACAAAGTTCCAGAAAGTGAATTCTGTTTTCTACTTTCTCCATGGAATAGCTGTTTTTATTAGATTAAGCATCCTATTCTTTCTGCTGAGTGAGTCACTGGCAAGCAAGGAAAGGCATTTTCGGATGGTTGACTTATGCCGGACTTGTTTGGTGAGAGTTTAAAATGTTTGAATGAGCATTTCGCTGCATGCAAGATAGGGACAGTCATCCGATTTCTCAATGTGAGGGACACTAAAAGATTGTGAAATTCAGAGAAACTTGGGAAGTCTTTGGACCCAATGCAATGAACTGCGATGAGGTGCTGCAATTCAATGAAGGACATAAAAATGTTTATGATAATGAACGAAGAGGGCACCCACCTCTGATTGATGATGATTTGATTGCAGCAGTTTATGCAAAGCTTATGGAGAACAGATGTTTCACCCTAACAACACTTTCCCAGGAATTTCCTCAGATTTCCAAGTCACTTCTGCACTAGATTGTGTCACAAAATTTGAAATTCCAAAAACTGTGTGCTTGGTGGGTACCTCACAATTTGACACAGCAGCAGATATTTAAATGTCAGGGCAGTCAGATTTTCTGACACAGTACAGGGCGATGCCTTCTCAAGCCAGATCGTGACTGGTGATGAGACCTGGGTGTGTCATGTAACCCCGGAATCCAAACTGCAATCAATAGACTGGAGGCACACATTCATCGCCAAGACAGACAAAAGCCAAGCCATTAATTATGATCCACAAATTGGTACGCACAATGTTGTGGTGTTTTGCTGGTGGATTTCATGGTACACTCAATGTGGCACGTTATTGCAAGATGCTTAAAAAAACAGGTCATGCAGTATAGAATAAGCATCATGGCATGCCTTAGGATGGAATTTTGCTTATTCATGACAATGCACAAATGCATGCAACATGCAACAATGCCTTATGGAGTTATGATGGGAAGTTTTTGACCACCAACCCCTACAAGCACAGATCTTGCACCAAGTGAGTTTCATCTTTTCAAGTGCTCGAAGTCCTTTCTTGCTGGCAAGGAGTTCCAGGACGACAAGGTCAGATCCATTCTTACCCAATGCTTGCAATCACAGGTGGCATCGCTCTTTGACAAGGCCATCCAAACACTCGTGCCTTGTTACATTAAATGCTTAAACAATGGTGGTTCCTATGTCGAAAAATAGTTTGATCGTTGTGATTAATTATGTAACAAATGTTAGTTCCAAATGATGTTTCCTTTTTTTTGTGAGTTGTTACGCAGAACTCACTTTTTGGATTACCCTCATAAATAAAATACAGCATAGAATAATATAATAAATACGATTTATCACATTAAGTGGATTAAATGAATTATGAATGCAGGAAGATGAATTTTGTGCAAAGAAGTGCCCAAAAGATAAATCAAATAATGTATTTGCAATATAGCGAACAGAAGAAGTTAAATTTAATGAGTATCAAAATTCAGCATTAAAAAAAATTGACTTTAAAAAAAATGCATCAGGAGAATTTTAAGTAATGTTAATATGCAGAAGTAAATGCAAATGGCAATGAATAAATTTACCCAGTTACCATAAACATGCTTTAAGTGTGTGAACAAGAAAACAGAATTGATAGTAAATTCTAATGCATTTAATTTATAATTTTATGAGAATTAATTATATCTTTCAGCAACATTTTGAAAGATTTGACATAGCTCTTTGTGAGAAAATAAATTTAACAGCAAACTACTTTGGCTTTACAGTGTCTGTTTAAAGCAGGAATAAATATGTAAATATTAAATAGCAAATAATACTTCATGCAGTGTCTTCAGGTACATATATAATATGATAAATTAATATGGCTAATAGCAAATTCGAGTACAAGCAATTATAAATAAACATTTAACATTCTAACTTAACACAAAAAATACGATTATGAACCAGTGAACTAATTGTTATACAATAAATTTCACATAATAAAAGTTGTATTTGTATAAAAATGAATTCTTAAATCTCTTCAAAATACATTTCAGACTGCATCCCTGTCCCCAAATTGAAGTTTCATGTTGTACTCATTTTTTCTCCCTTCCTAGGAAGCAACTGCGATTTTTAGGAGGAAATAATCTTAGCTAGTATACTTTTAAGAATAGTATCTTCTGACAATTTTTGCTTGAGCTTTGAATATCTGCAAACAATATAGTGTCATATCATGATTTTCTACAAAATGCCATCTAGACATCAGTGTCACATCATAAATTTTTACAAAACACCATCTAGGTGTTACTAACAAAAATGTGTTATTTAATTTAAAACAAGAGTTACAGCTCACTGAAAGCCCCTTAAAATTTGCCAGTAAATCTGATGATCAAAATGAATCATTGAAGCAACAGGAAAAATAAAATAGCAGATTAAGCAACTCATGGAATCAGAAATACCTATTGTTATATGTATACAGGTTTGTAATGGATTGAATGCACAAAGCATTGATGAAAGCTTGATGAAAGTTATTTTCCCAAAAGAAACTCTTTAAAGTTCTGAAACTTTTCACAAGCTCTTACATAAGCTTGTACCAGGACTTAGAAGAGAAGGGCTAGCTCATAGAGCTTTTCCCCCCGAAGCAGAAGTGAGAAGTGATGGCGTACTCATGATGACACTGAGCGCGGAGATGCAATTCACAGCTTGGAAATTAGCATTTTTGAACTAGCGTTTAAAATGAGCTGTGTGTGAAAGATAGCTAAAATTTGGAAGAGACAATGTTACTGCTGTATACATTTTACACTGAACCCTTAAAAAATTTAATAATACTTACTCAATTTTAAAATAATAGATAAAATGTGCTACTCTTTTAACATAAAGTTTCGTGAGTTTATTATTATTATTATTATTATTATTTGCAGGTTTTTTATTTAATGCACGTTTATTTCTAATCATTTCTTTATCTGCATGCTAACTGAGAGAATGTTTATACTGCTTCTAAGATAACTGTAATAGCAGATATTTAAATTTACTCAAAAAACAACTTTATATTGACATAGTTTTAAACATACATGGCAAAATTTCTGCTAATCTACGTTTGATTTTTTGCCTAATTGTAAGTTTTACATTAGCATATCTCTCTTCCGATTCAATATAATAAGAGATATTTTTTAAATAATTTTGTAGTTTATACTTACATCTATATCACAATTTAATAAATATATGTAAGAATGTTACCTTAATTTTGACAAAATAGCTTTACTCACAGTACCTAAAACAGTTATTTAATTTTTCAAAAGTGTGAGTAAAGCAGGCAAGTCTTTTTATGCTAATTACTTTGATGTTTTATACTATTATATTTTATATAGAATGATAATCTAGCACAAAATTGAATCAATAATAATTTCCAAAGGATACATAGGAATAACTTTAACAAGTACTTAACAAAATTAGTTTGTTAAGTACTTGTTATTCTTGTTGGTACTATTCATAATACCGGAAGATATTATCGATTAACTAATAGAAGTCAGATGCTATTTGATTTCCTGTGAGGAGGAGCATAGCTTTGCGATAGTTCTTGAAAATAATGTTTTCGCTATAGGGACTTTTTGTCTCTCGTTTCCCTTGACCATTAAATAATTCGGTTTTAGTTTGTGACAGAATTTGATTTCTTCTGAATCTCTATTTAAAACCTCTTTAATAATATCAAAATTTAAAACAGTTCCATCTTCTAAAACAAATCCTTTATCTAAAACGTGGTTTCTCAGTAATTTGAGGCAGAGCGCGAAATGAGACCTCTGATTAAAACAAACTGCACATTTTGAAAAAAAACGAGAACTTGGTCCAGTTTAGAGTCATAGCTGAGTTTTCAATCTATATGCATTCCGTCGAAACTGAGAACGCATATTTTTTCTACAGAATTCAAATATTCGCCTCTTTCCTTCTTTAGAGTAAGAACATCACTTTGAATTCTTGGACTACACTAAAATTTAGCACACCATTTCTTTAATTTGCTAATACTAGGTAAAGGAATTCCAATTTTTTCTCAATTCCCCCCCCCCAAAAAAAATCATAGCTTTAAGATGACAAAGCTCTTATGACAATGAAACGTGAAATATATTCACTAGTCCACCTGATTATTTCCTTCTTTTTCAGCAATGCATTAAACTGCGTCTTTATAAAAATAGGCTTTAGACATTTTTCCAAATTCTCCGATTTGTGCTCCCTCCCCCCCAAATTTCACTATTTGAGATTTTAATTTCTGATACCAATTTCTGTCTAGATGTCGTCCACCTTTTTTGCCGCTGAACAAACATTCTAAAATTTTTCTTTTCCCTATTTTTCAATACTTAATACAATTTTCTAAAGATATTATTTTGTTCTTCAAATTATCAAAACATTCTTGTTTATCCTTTAAAAATTAGGGCATTCAGGAATATCTACATTTTTATTTGTGAGTTTTATTTCAAAGCCACTCACATTTGATTTATTATTGTCATTACCAATTTCGTTTTCGGCCTCAAAATGAATTTTCTCTGGGCTTAATTCATGTAGTCTTTTAAAAGTACTGTACATTTAGTTTCCTTTTCTATTGTCTCCGATTTCTTGGTGTTATTTCGTTTACTGCACAGAGTAAATTTACTTTCGGCACAGCATTCCATTTCAACAGTTTCTTTTTGTGGTTATCCAAATAAGCGGTCGTTTCATATCATCTTCATAAACACTGCATAGAAAATGTTCGCTGCAGATTTTTCCGCTCTTCACATTAATAGAGTCTTGTCTTTGACATTTGTATATCCATTCTTTCGCCAAAAGCAAATTCTCGTTCGGGTCCTTTGGTCCCATGAAATAAAATATCCAATCCTTTCATACTTCTGTAAATGCTACGGCACATTACTACAGCGCAAAAAGCCATATTACATAAATGATACTTACAATATAGAATTTAAAATAAAAACTGACTAAAATTATATATATATATATATATGTTACTGTGAAAGACCGAAATTGGAGAATGTCGACTTTCACCGGAGAATATCAACATTCACCAAATACGTCGGTGAAAGACTGAATATTTCACTACATTCTTCTATATTCGGACCCTCACCGGTGTATGTCGACAATCACAGATATGCTCTGGTGAAAGTCGAAAAGAGAGGTCATAAAGTGCCATAATAGTTTAAGTTGTTGCAATAAATAAGATTTGAATCACATAATTTAGTAAGTTTTTTATTACTGTTATTTTATTTTCTCATTTAGAATGTACTGTATAATTAAGTAAGTTTTTAACTTCTATTATTTTTCTTTCTCATTTTGAATGTATTGTGTGTTTTAGGTTCTAATGTTCTTAAGTTCTTATTTCAAGTCTCAAGTGCGTTTATTTGTGACTGAATTATGGAGAAGAAAGTATAATATTGTTATATGTTCAACATTCACCATTAGTACATAATGAATGTCGACATTGACTGGTGTAAGTCAGAAATAAAAGTATTTGGAAAATATTTTGGACATACACCAAGAGACTATGTGAATGTTGACATTCACTGGTGAAATTCGACATTCTCCAGATTTCGGTCTTTCACCGTAACATATATATATATACTATTTTAAATATATACATTATTAGAAAACAGATATATATGATTAAAATTAATTTGGGATATGTAATCTCTAGAAAATCGTCTCGCAGCTGAATGAAACTAGTTTTAAATACGGGAAATCAGAACAGGTGCATCAAAGTGACGTCAGATTACTGCCTGTTAAGTCCCGCCATTAGGCTCACGACGGCGAGGAGTCGAACAAAGGAATGAACTAGCCCTTTCTATTTATCCCAGGCTTGGACAGTCTTCTCAAGCACAATCAGCAGTTATCACTTCAAACTACTAAGAACATTAGCACAATGCAATATGAAGCATATCTAAGCAAAGTTTGCATGGGGTGTTGCAACTCAACTCTTGCTGAGATCTGATGGCTGAGTCATCTCGAACTATGAACTCTCGCTCAGAGATCGTACGAGAACTCGGAATGGAGAAGTCGCACGATGCGTCTTGCCAAATTTAAACCCTTTTCATTATGTAAATATTCTGTAACCCATTTGCGTCTTCATTAAAATATGTTTGTGTAAAGAATGTATTGATCATTATGGATTATTCCCTTCAAGATTTTCCAGATAGATACACAGAGGAGATCAATTCAACCAGTGGCCCTGGCAGAACCCATTGGGACAAGGTAAGTAGTTTTGTTTTACCTTGATTAATTAGAATTGTAATTAACAATAACGATAATGATAAGAGAAATAAATAATACTATGAGTATCTCTCAATACTGTGGACTAAATAGAGATCTGATGCTCTCTTTGGTCTTATACAGTTTTCTCCAGCTGTCCAGAAATTTCCAGTTCCTATGATTTCTCAAAATCTACAGTGAGTCTACAATTTCTCAAATCAATCCTTGTCTACTGCTGGAAGGCATATACAGTTACAGTTTCATATAGGGCCGGATACAGTTAGTTACACATGAATTCGACAAATAACAGTTATGCAGGGATTGGATCAAAATGTCGCCAAAATTAGCAACTTTTGATGATTTCTTGCCAAATTTTGAAAATTTACCAAAACTTACAAATATACAAAATTCATAACAATATAATTAAACACTGTTGCTAACACTACAATGATCTTGGCCCTAAATCACATTCCAAATTACATTTTCAAATTTTTAATTGGAAACTTAAATTTATATGTACAATGTAAGAAATTCTAATTTTTTTAAAACCAAAATTCTATAATCACCATTCCAATAAAAAGCAAATAACGAATTTTAGTTAAAAAACCAAATAATGAGTGAAATTTTTTTAAATTCCAATCATGCTGCAATAATTCATTTAACAGTTATGTTTTTAGTAAAAATAATTTTTCAATTTGAAGGAGGGTGATGAATTAATAACTTTTTGCAAATAAGCTCCCCCAAATCGCAAAAAAAGAAAAATAGCAATGATGGAATGAATTACATATTTCAACCCAAACCAAAAAAGTTAGAATAATAAATCAGGAAAAATTTTTTAAAAATTAATTAGGAAATTTAGAAAAATCAAACTTGAACAGAAAATTCTAGGATAAAAATTTTAAGTGTTTCAACTTTATATAGTCAAAAGTCGTTAAATCGGACACCCATAATCCAGAATGATCTATAATCTGGACCACAAAGCTACAAACTTTCTGTGCATGCGTAACATTGATGCATGCGCGTAAGATCTTTACGGCTGCGTATATGCGTGTGCGCATAATGCATTTACGCATGCACGTTTAATGTATAACGGACGGTATAAGCTAATTATCTATTTCAGTTAATGTTGCAGACTGCGTTGTTCCTTAATCTTCGAATTGGATTCGGCTTATTATTTTTTGCAGACTATTAGAGTAATTTTATAAAAGTAAGCTTGAGCTCTCGATTATGTCAAATAGAATTTCCGATGCTGGAACTCCCAAAGGATCTACAAAGCGAAAGTATGTTTCGATGTCCATCAAACAAAAAGTGGAACTGCTGCAAAAAATGGATAAAGGCATATCCTTTGTTTCTCTAACCATTCCGAAATCTGTTTATCAATCGCTGCTCTGGGGGGGGGGGCACGGCGCGCAATGAATCGGAAGTTGATCTGTCAGCACTATCCTTATCTTCAGGGCAGATGTTTTTATTTTATTTGGCTTATAATTTCTTACTAAATGTAGTATTTCATCTCGATGTACTCCGTCTTTGATATGATTTAAATCAAATTCCTCGTCATTATAATTCGCTTCCAACAGTGAAGAAAGTGACACTGAGGTTATTGAAAACAAAAAAATTGCTCTTGCAAAGTAGTTGCAAGCGCGGCAAGGGTCTGAGGGGGCGGATTGAGAGCAGCTAGACGTCTCTCTAAAGCATCCCAAATGTGCTCGATAGGATTCAAGACCCAGTGATCGAGCTGGCCACTCCATGCGCATAATTGTTTCCTGTTGAAGAAAATCATCTACGATGTGAGCCCTGTGTGGTCTTGTGTTATAGTCCTGTAACAGGAAAGCATCACCTATTGCCCCGGCACATGGGCGCATATAAGCATCAAGAATGTCATCTCTATAAACCGGAGCATTCACGGTTTCCGTTGGAAAGACATGGAGGTCTGTGCGTTCACCCAAAGAGATGCCACCCCAAACACAGACACTGCCTCTTCCGCGTATGCATCTCTTTAATGGAATGTTTGGCATGGATGATAACGGGTTCCAGGTTCTCTCCATATCAAATAGCACCTACTATCGCTTTCCTAGACTAAACCTAGGACTCATCCGGTAAAGAGAACAGCCCTCCACTGATCAGGCGTCCAGTAGAAATGCTTGTCGTGCCTTACTGCAAACGATCCCTCCTATGGCGTGACGTGAAGCGGCATGCAAATTTCTGGTCGTCCTCGCATACAGACCACCTTCCTGAAGCCTTCCACGCACAGTTGAAATTGACACCAACCTTCCAGTGGCTGCAGCAAGGGAGGATCTAAGAAGAGTCGGAGTAGCGGTTCTATTCCTGCATGCACATAATGTCAAATATCAGTCATAGGCGCTCGTCGTAGCAGTTGGCCGTCCTTAGCTTAACATCCTAGATGCCGAATCTGTGGTTTGAAATCGCCTCCAAAGTCTATGAACCACAGAAGGACTCACATTTAGCCATCTGGCCACTTCTGTTTGACTTTATCCTGCCTCTAGTCTCCCAATGGCTTTCCATCGCAGTTCTACAGGCAAATGATGCCTGGAGGTCATTGTTACGAATTGACTATCTCACATTTCTGATTCACTATCACAGTAAAATATGTGGGCTTGCTCTCAAACATGGACTTTTATTCTCCTTGCAGATGACGTATTCCGAGTGCAGCGCCACTAATTTACATATTGCAGTTTTACTCAGCTACTCTTACTTGGCAACATATTCAAATTTTACATGGTTTGGCTTATTTTTGAGGGAGTTATCGCTATTTTTGTGATTTTTCCCTTAATTTATGATAACCAGAGTATAATAAAAAAGGAAGCAAATACTTGACTTTTAAACAATATAGCTACTTCATGAACCATCAACTGAAAATTCATTTTCTGCTAGTTTTGAGGAAAAGCTTAGTTAAAATTTATTTACATATATTTTAAAGAATTTTTTGAAAAAAATCTCTGCATTCATTTCATTTTATGGAATCTTTTGACTGCATCTTTTCACAAAGAATATTAAGTTAAAATAATTAAAAATATTTTTCAAAATATCATTCATCAATTTATTAAACTTGGTTCAAAGAAAATAATTAAGAGATTTAGTGATATTTAGTGAAGAATAGATCAATTAAATTCAGCATGAAAGTAAATATCACTAATTTATTGTACCTGCCACTGAGAAGGATCATTTGCAGCAGTTGTAGTGGCGATGCTCAGATGAGCCATCAAATTGGCTAAGGCACTTTGCCTCAAGATGCTATAACAATACATCTGAAAGGGAATTTTTGAAATTATTACAATAGGTTGCAATAATTTTTTCTCATATAAGAGCTTTTTAATCATTAAAAAGAACTTAATAAATATAAACAAAACTTAGTATTGCTGTGGCATTATTTCAACTCCAAAGATACAGCATATTTTGATATAAAAATAAGAAAAAGCATCCATTTGTCCTTTAAAATGCTTCTGATATGAAAGATTGAGGAAATGCATTAACCTCTATTATTAAAGAAGACCAGCAAAACTGAATTTTGTTTCATTATAAAGTTTATTTTAAAATGTTTCTGATTAAAAAATACAGAACACACTGAAGAAGATTGAAGACTAAAGATATTTTAAAACATATTAAGTCTTTGGTATACAAACTGAAGTGACATGAAACTAAATTTAATTTCATTTTAAAATTCACATTTACTAATAATTGACTTACTATAGAATCACCAATGTCTTGACGGTAACAGCGAAAAGATTCTTTTTCCTCTGGAAAAATAAACAAAGCCAAAAAAAAAAAAAAAAGAAGAAGAAGAAGAAAAATTATAACTCAAAATTTTTGACTCATTAATAATAAATATACTACTTATATCAGTGGTGGGCTGCATCACCAAAGGAAACTAGGTACAAAGCAAAATTGTTATCTCTTGTACGACAACCGCCTATGATTCCAAATAATTTTAGTTTTAGTGGAAGGCGGTCATCTTAGAAAAATGAGATTCAGTACCTATGTTATTAGTGCTCTAAGAAATACTGTTTCCTTTTGGAAGTGATTGCCACCAAAGGAGTTACTGTACTTTGAATAGAAAGACTGATGAATAAAATGAATAATACATAATGTGCTCTGTTAAATGTAAGAAAATCAGCTGAGAAGAGGAAATTAAAGTAATCCTGCCACAATAAATACATTTTTAAATATCATAAAAATAAACAGTTAATTAAAAACATTTCTACAGGGGGGGAAAGAAAAAAGAAAAAAAAACCCAAGGTTAGAAAAACAGACTTTTTCTCCATTTGTAACCTGTTAATAATTTTGAAACTTTATAATACCCCCCCCCCAAGAATGACAAGTAATGTTTTATATTTATACAAGAACATATGATGTAAATCTAACTTTTACATTTATTTTTTATATTTTTTTTTAAATCTAATGTCCTGAAAGATACAGCACAGAGGTAACTGTGCTGTGTGGACAACTGTGCTGTGTGGTTGAGATACCGACAAATGATAAGTGGCTTTACAGCTTACTAACACATGCTCTTTTATGATTGTTAGTAAGAAAATTAAAATTTCTTATGACCTATTACTAATAAAGTGATTAAGGAAACAGGAAAAAACTACAGGTAACCCCCAAATAACACAGTACTTGAAGAACACGAGTTTCAAAGAACTCGTATACTTCCCCCAATTGCATGGTTTCATACTACACAATTTTCAAGTAATTCTAGTAGTCCAAAGGTTGACTCCTTTTCCACAAGGTCACTTACTTGGAGGAATAGGGAAGAAGGATTCCCCTCCGGCGGTGAAAATTTCCGGGTGCATTCCAAGTCCATCATAAGATCTAATTTTCCAGAAACTATCTAAAGAACTTTGAGGGTGAAATCTGATTAGAAATACCCATGTTACCTTGTTTTAACTCATTTGACTATGTATAAAGTGCAGAAGATCTTCAGTTTCAAATTTTTAATATTTTCAATCAAGTTTTTTGTAAGTGTTTAATCAATTAATTTCTAGTTTTTTTTTTTTTTTTTTTTTTTTTTTTTAAATCCTTAATTTACAAAATGTCTGCAGAAAATCAAAAGATAGTTCGAAAAAGGTGTACAATTTCACTTGAAAATTAAAAAAAAAAAAAAAAAAATTTGGATGGACTAAAGAAAGGAGAAAAATTATCAGCTGTTGTAAAGATATAGAGCTTGAATGAGATTACTAATTATACAATAAAAAAGAATGAAGAAAAAATAAGATAGTATGCATCAATAGTACCTTTAAGTGTTTAACAAAGTTTCTGTTCTACAAATGTAAATATTATGAATACTGAGAAACACTTTCAGTATGGACTGATGATTGTGTAAATAAAAGAGTGCCTTTGAGCAGGAACATTATCAAACAAAAAGTGCAATAAGCATTTACAAGAAGGCCAGCAAACTACCACAGAACAACAATCGCAATCATTTTGTGCAAATAAAGGCTGGATGGAAAGGTTTAAAAGCAAGGCATTCTCTACACAATATCAAGCTACCAGGAGAAAGTGCTTCTGCAGAAGTAGAGGCTGCTCATCAATTTACAAGAGAATTGCACAGAATTGTTGAAGATGAATGTGATGCAGCTGACCAAATTTTTAATGTGCCGACGAGACTGGTTTAAACTCGGATAAAAAAAAATGCCACCTCATATATATATGCAGTATCCATTAGTTCAACACAGCCACCAGAGGGCATCACGTGTGCCCCGACAGCGAGAGTGAGGTGAAAGATAGACAGATGTTTTTCCATGCAAAAGTGGTAACAAACGAACTCTGTTAAAATAGCAAGCGCAAGTAGGCGCTGTGTAGCTATTTTAAATACTTAAAGTCATGCAGAACTGTATTTGTATCTAACAAGCACGAGAATGTGCAATGGCACTGTTATTTTAATTCAAGTCTATAGCTATTCTATTATCAATTATTATTCATTAAATGTCTGGAGTGTGGAAGTGTTATTTACTTAAGGATATCATCTTCAACTCCCCACCCACAGAACACAGACACCACAGACAGTGCCCCTGGGGGCCTGTCCGGGATACTTCAAAATAAGGATGAGCGGCAGCTTAGAATTTATAGATTTTACTGCAATGGCTCAAAGTGAACTTTTTATGGCTACTGACATAGAATGGGATTTGACCAAGAAACAAGCAAGGTAAAGTAGTATTTTATACCAATTTACTATAATCATGAGAGTATTAAATAACATCAGAAAACAGGACTTGAAAATAATCTCAGAAGATTATGTTCAAGAAAGATTTAACTCCTAAAGTTGCGAGATGGATGTTACTTCTAGAAGAATTTGACTATGAAATTGTTCACAGATCTAGGCAGCAAATGAAGCATGTGGATTCCTTAAATGCTATTATGATGGTTACCTATTCTCAGGGAGAAGTTACAGCCAAAATTGCAGCTGCGCAAAGAAGTGATGAACGTCTCCAGTTGCTAAAATCCTTAGTCCCAGCAAGGATTAAAGAAAGATTTCCTAGTGAAGAATAGTGTATTATACAAGTTTGACAGTGGTCGCGAGTTACTTGTGGTACCCGAAACACTGAAGCTAGAAATCATACGTGCTGGCTTGATATACCAGTGTGCTGATCCGTATTTTCGAGGGCGAAAACAGAGTCAGGATCGCCGAGCTGTGGTATCCGTCAGTTCAACACAGCTACCAGAGGGCATCACGTGTGCGCCAACAGCGCGAAAGATAGACAGATGTTGTTTCCATGCGAAGGTGGTAACAAACGAACTCTGTTAAAATAGAAAGTGCGAGTAGACGTTGTGTAGCTATTTTAAATACTTAAAAGTCATGCAGAACTGTATTTGTATCTAACAAGCGCGAGAAGGCGCAACGGTACTGTTATTTTTAATTCAAATCTGTAGCTATTCTATTATCAATTATTATTCATTAAATGTCTGTGGTGTGGACGTGTGGAAGTGTTATTTACTTAAGGATATCATCTTCAACTCAACAACTGCATATATTTCAGAAAGCCAGAACTCCATACTTGATTCAAAATGGTTCTAGGAAAAGATCACTCTTCTTTTATGCAGTAATGCATCAGGAGATTGTTGTATGAAACCATTATTTATAAACAAATAATGAATCCTCGCTCGTCAAAAACTTAGATAAAGAGCATCTACCGGTTTATTGGGGAGCTAACGACACAGCTTGGATTACTTCACCTATGTTTGCAGATTGCTTTCACAACTGTTTTGTGCCTGATGTAGAAAGATATTTAAAAAAGAAAAATTTTTAATTTTAAAGTATTACTACTACCAGACAGTGCCCCTGGACATCCAAAGGAGTTAGAAATCCAAATGTAAAGATAATAATTTTACCACTAAATACTACATCACTAATCCAGGAAATGGCTATAATATCAACATTTAAGGCATATTACATACAGTTATATTTTAAGTCTATTTTGGATAATTTAGAAGCTGTGAAAAATAAGACACTTCCCAAGTTTGAAAAGAATTTTCAATCTTGGATTTCATTAATACTGTATCTTTATCTATAAGCGATCTTAAAACTTTGACACTAAATCCAAGTTGGAAAGCTCTTTTACTGGATACTGCTTATGAAGACTCCAATATTCCATGTAAGCACACTGAATACAATCAGGTAATTAATCTTGTCTATTCGCTATGTGGTATGGGGTTTGATGATATGTCTGCTGAAGACTTTGATGAACTATTTTTAGAAAAAACATTACATGGAGAAGATCTTGTAAGGCTTCTGGAAGAATCCGATTCAAAATCAGTGAATAAAGAAGGTAAAGAAAATTATGAAAAATGTATCTAACCAAAATTTTTCTGTTGATGATACAATATGCATTACATTTGGCAAACAAATTAGAGATGTTCTTAACAAAAAGGTATCCTTGCAAGGTATGGAAAACAACATTTGCAGTACAATTCAATAACAGCATTAAGTTGCGTGAAAATTATTTAGAGAAATTGCAACACAGGAACGAACCATCATGTAGTATTGCTAGATATTCATATGAAGACGAACCAAGCAGCATGGATATTTGGCCTCATACAAGAAAATATACTAGAATCACAACATTCCTAAATGACTCCAAGGATGAGGATTAGAAGATATGGTAATGTAATTTTCTCAAAAACCTAATGCATTGCAAAATTTGCTTTATTTTTCTTTTATTTTGATAACAAAAATTTAAGATAAAATGTTTTTTCAAAACCAATTAAAAATTAATTTTAATTATGTAATACAAGATTTCTTAGATGCGTCTAAAAATATGAATTCAAAAAAAATTTTTTTTTTTTCTTTAGTTTCATATTTAACAAAAAAAAAGTTTTAAATGTAACTTTTTTTTAAAAAATTCACACTTGAAATGGAATTGCATTTTCTGCAGTCTTGAACAGCATGATTTCAAAGAACATGGAATCAATTATTCGTTTTCTTCAGGGGTTACCTATAGATATTCTTTATATAACGCCAGCGCAACCAAGGCATCTGATTCCCGTGAAAGTATGACTGCACCCAAAATGGTGCACATAAGACAGGTAAAATACTGTTTTTTTTAATACTTTTGAATATAAGTCTGAAATTCATGAAAGTGTTATTAACTAAAATGTGATGGGACTAACCTAGTCCCTTTAGTGCATTAAAGGCACACCACTGATTGATAAATAGTCTTTTTCATTCATGACTAAAAAATACTGGGACAGTAAAAAGTAAAAGAAAAGTATTCAGATAAAAGTATTTTCAGAAATAATAAATTACTGTGAAGAACTTTCATCATGACTATAGCTGAATAAGAAATTAAACGAAAAGGTACCTGATTTCCATTGTTTATAATCATTATCAGATGGATATCTTAATTTTACAAGGTAGTTATCTAATAATGACTGAAAAATAGGATGGAATACAAGCAAAAGACTTTCAAAACCCCTTGAGGAAGATGTAATGGCATCCTATAAAATTAATACATTTATCAGATTTAAATATTATAATATTAATATCAGATTATTCAAAAGAATTTTGTCATAAGACAAATAATATATAACAAAACAAGCAAGAATACTTTGAAATTGGAGAGAATCTTGATACAATGCTAAAATTAAATTCACATCAGAATATAAGCAAAATTTACAATTTCAATTTTTCATTTGATGGGTGAATACTTACTATATATTCCACTGGTTCCCAAATTATGATCAGTAGCATCATGAACGGTTTATACGAGTAGTGCAAAGTATTCTCATAAATGGTACTAAGTGGTAACTACATTTTCACAGAAATGGTACTAAGTGGTTTTAGAATTAAGACAACAAAAGCAGTGACGCTGTATTAGGCAGGCTATTTAAGAGACATTGTACAAACCACCGTTTTTGAGAAGGACCTAGCAGCTTATTAACAATTCAAAAATTACTTTCAAGAAGATAAGTGTAACTTATCATATAATAATGACAATTTTATAATGATTGAAGACTTTAAGCATCATCTGAATTTAAGGAAAGCTTACCGAACTGTCTTGTGACAATACACAGAATACAAAAGTCAACAACAAGTACACCATTAAAAGAGGGATACTCCACATGATGTCATTGGTGGTGCAAATAAAGTACTGCTCATATAAAAAAAAAAAAAAAGAAAGAAAGAAAGAAAAATGGCTCAACTTTCTGACTAGTTGTGATTCATTTATTCAAGATGATAATTGTCCAAAATAAAATTTATATCAATTGCTTTTGAATTTGAAACAAGGGTTTCATTTATTTAATAATTTCACAAAGCTAATCACATGCATGCTGTAACTACTAGGAAGGCTGGTGTTTTGAGTTTGATTGCATAAAAAAATTCTAATACATCAAGGAAGCCTCAAATTGAAAACATTTGAAAATTACTCTTATTTTCTATAAGAAATATAGTACTACATATATTAATAGTTAAACCAAATCTGTGTTAACCATACTAATAAAACAAATTGCAACTTATGCATCTTCATGTATCAAACTGGAAGAAAAATGCCGCAGAAAATTTTAAGTTAAGCAAAAAAGAAAACTTGTTTGGCATGAAGGCAATCAAACACAGGTACATTTTCTTCAGAAAACAAACAAACAACAACAAAAAAGATATATATATATAGCGGGAACAGTATCTGATTGCTCTTGAAACCGATAGAATATTTTTTACAATCAGTACCAAACTAATGCCCCCCCCCCAATTTTAAGCATTTATGCACACTAAGAAAATTAATACTGCAAGACAATTTAGTTTACAGAATATCATGGAACAAATTTTAAAATGCAATTTCTTTTATTAAGCAGCATAATAAATTACAAAATATTTTTAATACCATATTAATTTATGTATATAAATTTCAATTTTCCATTCATTCAGAAATTTAAGGGGGATCACAGCAATATCCATGAGAAAGTGGACAATATTTAATTCAAACTCATTTACAAGCTACTACTTTTTCTTCAAATGGTACTTTTCCATTTTGCCGGTGCAAATCTCACCAAGCGAGACTTTATTGGCGACAACATACAATATACACACACACCAAAAAAAAAAAAAAAGAAAGAAAAAGTTAACGAATGTTAGTTCTAAGAATTTTTATTTTGAAGGCATAAACATTTTAATATCATTTAAAATTTTGTAAAAAGCCAATAAATAAAGACAATAAATTTGTAAAAAGACGTTAATTTAAGAATTTACAACTGTTTCATGGTTCAACATCCTGATTCGCCGGTTCATATTACACTCACGTTTGTGAAAATTGCAACACCATGAAGGACTTACGCGAGTGACCTGAAATTTTCAGGAAATGCAAAGTAGCGCATGATATGCAAATGATTAGAATTGCAAATCCGTAGCGCATGCGTATGCTGAGCAGCGCCCTCTGAATGGCTGATGGATCCGAATAAATAGACGGCTGTAGCGAGGCGTGTATGGTTATCGGTGGTTATCTGCTAGTGGTAAACGTTAACTCAATCTGTACTTATGCCTCGTCGACGAAAGAGAGCGAGATTTGAACAACTTACAGAGTTTGAACGAGGGAGAATCATCGGCCTTCGTGAAGCTGGATTGTCGTATCGTGCAGTAGCCTCTCGTGTGCAGCGTAACAGCAGCACAGTGATGCGCGTTGGGGCAAGCAGTGGACGGACGAGTGTCGGACAACTCGGAAATCCGGGAGTGGACCCCGAAATGTAACGTCAGCTCGCGATGATAGACACCTGGTCCGCATGGCGCGGACGGACTGTACAGCTTCCTCTAGACAATTGGCAGCACTGTGGTCAATAGCTACAGGTGTTTCATTGTGTGCTTCATCAATTCGTAGACGTCTGCTGCAGTGTGTACTGCGCGCACGGACTCCTTTATACAAGATCCCCCTAACGCACGACCATCGCCACCTGCGGCTACAATGGGCCAATTAGCATAGAGACTGGCGTGCTGATTGGCAGCATGTCGTGTTTTCTGACGAATCCCGCTTTAATTTGTGGTACCATGATGGTCGCATTCGTGTCAGACGCTATGCCGGTGAACGCCACCTTCCGGAGTGCATTATCGAACGCCACAGTGGACGAACACCCGGAGTTATGGTCTGGGGCGCCATAGCATATCATAGACGATCTCAATTGCTACGAATTGTGGGCAATCTGAACAGCAACCGGTATATCTGTGAAGTTCTACAGCTCGAAGCTGTTCCCTTCCTTCAAAGCTTGCCAGGCGCTGTATTTCAACAGGACAATGCCCGCCCTCATACTGCTCGGATTGTTAAATCCTTCTTTGCAGCACAGCAGGTACAGCTTCTTCCTTGGCCTGCGCGTGTTCCCCGGATATGTCGCCAATTGAACATGTGTGGGATGTCATTGGTCGGCGTCTTGCTCGTGATCCTCGTCCTGTTGCGTCTGCAGACGAACTTTGGGTACGCGTACAAACGATATGGAATGCTCTTCCTCAGTCAGACATTCAAACTTTGTTTGACTCCATGCCACGTCGTGTAGGCAGCACTTATTGCGGCGCGTGGTGGCCACACAAATACTGATTCTGATCTCTTGTTATTGTTTGTTTGCTTTGAACATTTAATCATTTCTTTGTACCACTACCACTCAACTGTGTATTAAATTGCATTCAATTATGACGATTCCTTCTTGGTGTTGCAATTTTCACAAATGTGAGTGTACTTGACACCAAGTGATCTCATCTCACGTAAACTACATTACAAAAATCTAATTCTCTCAGTAATTACCTACATTAATTTAATAAATCTTAATTTGGAATATAAGTTTAAATGCAAGAATTATTTCAATTCGTACGAATAGCTTGCACAAAAATTATGTAAAACCGCAGTGCTTTACTTCAGTAGTGCACTCTCATTAGAATTGATGAATTTAATCCTTGACTTTGCCTTTTCTATATTTTCGCCTTTGGGTGAGCAGTGTGATTGCATCCTAATTGACTTAATTACCACGAATGGCCTTAGGGCATAAAATTGAACTGTCTGGTAAAAGTTCTATGTAGTTGTATGCCAGTATTGAAAGAACCAATCAGTCTGATAAGAAATGGCTGCGACTTATTTTGAAAGTGAGGCGTAAAAGGTTACCAGCGACGATATTCTGTTTTGCATCAACTGCACCATTATTGGCGACTTCATTGCCTGCGCCGGCAAAACGGAAAAGTACCCTTCAAATATTACAAACTAGCAGACCTATTAATTTGAAAGACTACAAAAGTTTAAATTAATCATCAAATTTTAATACATTAGATATATGATTAAAAATGTATTTATTCAACAAGAAGAAGAAAAGTACAAATGAAATTTTTGGAAATCACTAGAATAATTAAAAACTTTAGTATGAAAATACACACCATAACATTTCCTTCAATTTAGTTTCTTCAAAGATATAGATGCATAATGTATTTAAAACCCCAAGCTACAGAAAAATAATTTCTTTCCCTTCCTCAAGCTTATGAAAATTGTAATATAATATTTTTGACTAAAATCACATATATTGAAATATACATCATAATTAAAAAAATCAATACAATGTCAAATTTCCTTTTAATATTTTCCCTTTCCATACTTGCCAACCTATGACACTCAAAAATCAGGAGATTTTTCACAATGTTAAAAGCCTTTTTAAATGATTAAAATATAGTTTTTAACAATAAATTAACTTTAAATAGTTACTAATTCTTAAATGCAAGCAACACAAAAATACCTTACACATAAAAAACATTTTTATTACTTGCATTGTTTAAGAAAACCAAAAAAAAATGACACTTTAATCAGTTTTCGTACAAATGTTATGAACAGTGGCAGATTTTGCTTTCGTTAAGAAAGAAACTTCATAATTTTGTGCATAGCATTTGTCATGTAAGCCTGCTTTTACTAATAAAAGTTTTTCTAATGTGTCATCACTAATATTATATCTAAATTTAGTCCTCGTTTTCGCAACAACACTGAAAATCCCTTCACACTCTGCATTACTATGGGGAACTGTCAAGATGGCCAACATTTCACTATATTTCAAAATTCCATCAGCATCTTTCAGTTTTACAATTAAACTCCACTGGGTGTCAATCCTAGCTGATTTTATAACTTCATACAAGTTTTCTAATTGTAAACTGCAAAACTGCGACTGCAATATTATCAGTGGCAACATCAATATCATCATCTTTCATGACTAAATTAAGTAACACAGGAAATCTGTTCAAAAAGTGCCTTATATCAGAAAAAGATGCATTTGCTAGAGCAAAAACACATCAACTTTAGCATGCAAAATCACTGGAAATTTATGGAGTATGTAATCACATACTCGATAGAAGTAACTTCTAACATGAAGATAAAACTTATTTTTGACTTCTGAAAGTTCTTCCACTACTTTTGTAATTGCAGCTGCTATTGCCAAATCTTCATCTTTCTTCCGATTTTCTATTTCACCATAAATCACATCATATATAGAATTATAAGACAAGACACAGACTGGTTTTACAAACTTTGATAAAATGTCTTTAAACAGATCATAAATCATTGATTGCAAAACATGAATTAATGGAATTCTGCTTTGTAGAACTATGTTAAGAACATCCAATGATGGCAAAATGAATTGTAAAAAAAAGCAAAAAGCTTTGTTAAGGAAAAAAACATAAATATTCGTTCTTCACAAGATAAACTTACAGTAATCGGAAAATGCTTCGTGTGCTGAGCAATTTTTTTATTTTGAGAGAAATTTGTATCAGCTCAAACTTGTTTTTCTCAAACCTATTTTTAACAATGGAAGTAGTAACTACATCTCCATTTACTTTAGGTATTTTATAGCTTTCAATAGAGCATCTTATCTTAACTCTCAAAGCATTTACTTCTTCTTTAAAAAATGCAAGAAGTGGGTTCCATTGATCGAGGATTCTAGATAAGCATGTCTTTAAAGCCAGCGTGTAGACACATTTCAAAAATTTTCTCATTTCAGTACTATGCAGCTGTTGGAACTTGTTTCAATTTTTCCTTCCGTTTAGAACTCCTTTCAAGATAATAATAAATATCAACAATGTGTTCATCCACATTTATTGGTAAAGAAGTTGCCCCTTTTTCAGCTGCTAAATTTAAGAGGTGACAGGTGCACCTCATAATCTGCAAATTTGCATTTTCCTTTCTTAAGATACCTGCAACACCAATCTTCAAGTTTACCATTATTACCAGTCTACCATTACTGGTGCATTATCGGCACCCAAGTGCTAAGCAATTATCCAGAGGGACTGCATTTTCTTTTAAAGTTTTAATAATTAGCTGTGCCATATTAAAGCCTGCCGAATGTCCTTCTAAAGTGGGGACTGAAAGTAGACTGATTTCAATTTCTGAAGACTCTGGATTAAAAAACGAAACAACAACTGGATACAGTTTTGAATTGGTATTATTGCTTTCATCCATAGAGAGGCAGAATGGAGCTGTTTTAATGCTATCAATAACTGAAGATTTATTTTTCAAACCCATTTCTTTAACAATTGCACCTGTTTTGGTCCTTGCACTTAAGTGTTTCTTAGTGATTTCATTATCGGGAAATATTTTTTCTAAATAAAGCTGCAGCGTGATCTGATGCATTCAGTGGCAGGTTGTGCTCCAGTAAAAAGGCAGAGAACAGACATTCTGCATTAATAACTTTTTGGTCCTTTGTTTCTGAAGAAAAAATTTAATTTTTCATTTTTTTTCAAAACAACTAATGTTGTCCTTGTGTTTTTGTGTACGCACATGTTTGAGAACATCCGCCCTTCCACCATACGAAATCGAAAAATCGCAACGACAGATGGTACACATCGCAAATTTATTACATTTCCTTGAGGAAATAATGGAAGGAAAGTCAACTGTGTAGGATTTTTTAAACGTATATGAGTATTTCACCTTTCTCACAAACATAACAATTTCTAAAACTATTTTCCGAAGGCACATGTGCTCATACAACTCAATGTACACAACTCAGGATAAGATGAACGAAATAACTAAAGAACATCCAAATAACAGCTTTGAGCTTGCTTTGTGCTCATTGGCTAATATATGCCAGATGACACAATGTGGAGCTCGATGCTCATTGGAGAACTGGAAAACAAAGTTTCTGAATAGGTATGCTCTCACTCACAAAGCAGAAATTTTTATCTGATTCGCAAGGTTTTGTTTTAGATATAATCTAGCAAAATTTTAATTGCTATCAGAAGTCAAAAATAACTTTTCTTTCCATATAACAAAGTATTAAGCCAAGTTCTATAAAAATCGTGAGAAATTTTAAGAATAAGAGAAAGTCGGTAGAAATATATTGTAAATCGGTTTGGCGGGAGAGTGGTCGAAAATCGGGAAAGTTGACAACTCTGCCTTTCTAAACCACACTTTTCTTTTAAACAACTCTAAAATCAAAATTAATGTCTAGTAGAAAGACTACAAGGATTATATTCATAAAACACTATGGTTTGAAAACTATCATTTGAGTTGCAAATGCATCAATACTGCAGGCACATAGGAATGTAATGCATAAAACAATAAAATATGAGTGAATCGCAGACCTTAGTTTTGGTAAACTATAAGAGCATCATATTTTAGTTGTTCCATAAACACTGACAATTCAACAAATGGATGTTTACACACTGACTGCATATCTATATACTCTGAGAAAATATTTACATTCAACTTACTTGAAGCGTATACCAGAAGCCAAAAGCTTGCTCACTACAGATTTCATCAATAGGATACTGACCAGGAGTAGAACTACATCGCTATAATAGATGTTTGGATTACTATAAATATAGTTATACCTAAATTTATACAGTATAAGATAACATCACAGAAATTAAACACGTTTTTAACATATCATACGATGCTAAAAATACTTGTAGAATTTTAAAAATGCTCCGAAAAGCTTAATAAAATGCAATTATTGTACATCAATGTGTGTATACTGTATACAATAAAAGCTCATATCTAGCATAACAGTTACTGGAAAGTTCAAATAGTCAGAATATTTTAGACCCCCCCCTCTTCCATAAAAAATTGAGCAAATAGGATATTTGAAAAGGTTACAAAGCATGTACAAGATTTTATTGCTAAGCAATGTGGTTTAGAACCAATAATGGAAAGTATGACATTACAATACAATCATAAGATCTTTGCTTTGGTTTTAGGAAAACACAATAAAATCTCATTACAACATTTTAGTTCTTGTAAAAAAAGAATATAAATTAATTACTATTTGTTTTCCTCTTACATTTTGAATATATATATATGTATGATTAAATTTTGGCCGTCTACAAAACAGCATGCAGTGCATGCATGCATTTTCAAAGACCTTGGTATTAAGAAAACTTACTTGAAACTGGATAAATAATAATAATGCAATATGAAAAATTACAGTTAACAATTTAAAGTTTTTTTATACTGTAACTTGCATCTACCTAAAGAAAGCACAATCTGTGACTTTAAACTTCTTCCGTTATGACTGGCACAGTTTCGGTAACATCTCCACCAATTTTCATGGTTGACAGGATTTCATAATCAGATATTTTACTTTAAAATGTTCAAGGCTTACAAAATACGTTGGCTTTTATAGCTGAAATGCAATTTCCTTGATTTGAAATGTTATATTATTTTAAATATAAGCCTTTCAATATTCAAGCTGACGACAAAATAGGATGATTGTTTTTATAATTTTAGAGCAGAAATTTCTTCCATTCATTGGGCTCTACTACAGTGAATTGCATTTTTTATATTCTCACCTATATGGAATTTTCCCATACCTGGCATTGCCTGAATAACCGAACTTTTGCGATATTAGATAACCTATTTGATATATTGGATTTATCCTAAAGAAAGAAAAATGCATTCTTAAAATTTTTTAAATTATATTGCATTTTTAATTTGAAATAATGCAGTAATTAAAAATAAGAGCTTTTAAAAATGTACTTAACATTTTATAGAATATTTATGTAGTAAGTTTGTATAAAATGAAAATATGGTATTTTCTGATTACCCTGCTGAAAAGTCAAGAAAAAGCAGTATGTCACCTAAATATTTATGTTGTAACCCATGATTTTGCCAAAAAAGTATTTATGTAGCAACTCAGATATAAATGTAATATTTCTCTTTTGACCAATGGCACAATGCTGAAGTTCAGGCATTAACTTGGTGAAATATTTGTCGCCACTAAGTGTGAAATTGCTCTCCAAAGCCAGAAATGAGATAATGACTTTTTCCAGATAATCAGAAAGTACTAAAAACATCTCCACTTAATTCTTAAACAATATCAAATTCAGATTAATCATCCTCATTCATGCGGTATGAAACTGCATCAGTACATAAGTTACTTACAATAACATTAGCCTTTGTTTTTGAAATTAAGAATAGAATTTAATAATTTGTATCCATCGTACTGACTTTATAACTTAAAAAATTAATAAAAGAACAAGTACATAGATGTATGGAGTATAAAATTATAAGATTACACATTTTATAACAAATTTGTCACTATTAATGGAGAACAGTTCCTGATCTAATAAAAGATTACAATTCATTAAATAAAGTCTATCGAACCCAAGAACAAACTCTCTACAAATTAAAATTATGCATTTAGATCTACCGAATTATAAATTTAATTACAAAAATTAGAGATAAAAGCATCACCAATAACCAACAATTTTTGTATTAAAAATTTGTTAATTACTTTCTCATCTTGGGGGGGGGGGTAAACAGATTATGGAGATAATATATACATTAACTATTCTATATTAAACGCAAGAATTATTTATGGATATATTTCTTTCCCCATTTCCTTGTCCCTGATTGATTTGGAATTGCAGAATTTTTTTAATACTGAAGTCACAGCACAGAAATATGAAAAAATATTTCTATGTAGTCACTGAAAATACTAAATTGCATTAGCACATATTATTTAGACATTTTTAATTGGAAATTTGTGTTAAACATTTTATTAGTATAAAATTTTTTTGGCATACTTTACTTTCTAGCTCTTGACTTGAAAAATTTGACAAATATTACTTTATTTTAATAAAAGCAACTAAATAAAACAGTAACTGCATAAAATAAACCTCAAGTATTTTTTAAAGACACCAGAGTCTGATTTTTCATTTTGAAACATAATATCTTTTGATGACAATGTGAAATTTTTATATCTTTCTAGAAACAAAGAAAAATTTAATAAATTTAAAAAAAAAACTTAAACTAAACAGTGATTTATGCACACATTTTGATAAAGTTATGGAAACATGAAAATAAATTTAAAATTATACTCACAAGTACAAAGCTTATAAGTTTTAAAATCATTTCTTTCTTTTCTGGTTTGTTGAGTATTGTATCAAGAAGTAAGTGACAATGATTATCGGCTACTGCAATAATTAGGCCATATATGTTATTGCATTTATCCTGTAAAAAACAAAATGCATATATAAATAATTTGCAATTTGAAAACTTCAGATTATAACAGTTTCAAGACTTCAAAAAATAATTTAAGGTTTTAAAAAAAATTAATTAAAAAATTATAAGAAATCACATAAATATTCTATTTTTCTTGTCTAAAACATCTTCTGTTTCCATCTCATAAATCTAAATCTTCCATCTCATAAAATCTAGTGAATTAAATTAAAACCCAATTAAAAATACTTTAAATTTTAATAATTCCACTGTTAGTTTTTGTTTTCATTTTAAAACTTTAAATGACATGCAATAAAAGCGTTTGATTAGCCAGAAAGCTCAGGAAATGCCGAATGCCACATAAGCAAAAATCCCAGATAGCTGAGTATATAAAAATTGCAACTCATGTTAGAAAAGCCAAATAATGCCACGAATCACATGACATTCGAAGTTCAGACTTGGTGCGTGAAGGTGCAGTTGCCCCTCACTTCCTAGTTTTTGATTTCTCTGATTTTCTTGCATTTTAGTCTATGTGTCATATGTTTAATCAGATAGCCTGGCTCAGTAAAAGTAGGCGGTCAGTGTAACTGATTCAAAATCCAGTTACGACCACGTGTTTCTGAGTCTCTTTTGCCAATTGCTTTATTTTTCTTCTTTTTTCCCCTTTCTAGGAATTTCGTTCTCCTGATCAGGAGGGACCTTTAGCTGCCCTCAAAATTGATTGAGTATTTTAATATATTTATGCTAAATGCAAGGTTGTTATTGCGATTTTCAATGTCAATACATCTGAAGCAGTTAATTTCACTAATAAAAGAAGCCTGGATAACAATATTTCTATGTGTAATACCATTATCCCATGGCCTGAGTAGGCAAAATATCTCTCCATTCACTCAATAGATAATAAGCTACTCATACATATGACTGCACTACATCCCATACTTTTTTTATGCCTGCCTTGTCTGGGTTGTGTATATAAAACACAATTAATTAAATTACAAAGTCTGCAAAACACCACATTCAGGATCATGCAGTAGATGATTTATATGAAATACTTTAATTCATACAGACTTAAAACTAGCTAAAAAGTTTTATAACTACAATATAAAAAATGAATTTATTCCTAACTTGAACTATGATATATATATGAAAACAGCAACATACAATGGCCTAGTGGTATGATCCTACTTCTAGATTAATTTTACTTTTTCTGCTTGTATTTCATAATTTCTTATTTTGTAATTAAAATTTACTTTAGTCACTCCTAGTTTCAAACCCTTTTCCATTTCTGTTCCAGTTATGCCCTCAATTTGTATGGCTCTGAACGGGCCCGCACCAAGCCTAATCGGCGCCGTCGTGCAAATGTCTAGCGAGCGTCTTTATGCAGTGATGATATTTAAGTGAAACTGCTTATGATTAACACTTAAAATGAAGTATTATTAACATAATAATATAAGAAACGAAAAAAAAAATGCATTTTATCTTTCAGTTTGTCTAAATGCCCAAACATTTTGTGCTTTGGTAAACCCACACTGAAACATATTTATTGAAGAATCATACATATATTTATGTTATACAAAAGTAACACTGAAACTAAGCAAAATAATACACTACCATTGGATACTAAATATATTGCTTAACACAATTTATTATCTTAAAATTAAGAAAAAATTAATTTACACATCTAATAAGTTGTTGTTGTTAGCATCATTTACGACAAAGTTCAAACGATTACAACAGGGCACAAACAATGTTCTACGGCTGATATCTAGGGATATATCTAAAATTATTTTCTGCACAGCGCTATGTTGTTGACAATGATATAGCTTAAAATTTCAACCAAAACCAAAATTTTCTACATTTTTTTCTAAAAGTTTGCAAAAACTGCACTTCATGCATAAGATCTATATTATTTATATCGCTTTGATTTTTATCAGCTAATGCTTTTTGCAACTTTTGACATAAGTTGAGTTGATCTTGAAAATATACGTGAACGAAAATAACTGATGCTGATGCATATATAAGGGTAGACGCCAGCACCATAGATGCGTTCGACAAATTGCTCAATGCTTATTTTGTGTCTACTGTTACAATTGTAGCAATTTTTGCAACATTTACCTTTTTTTGCGATTTTGTTTGATGATTGCTTGTTGTTACTGTTATTCTACATAAAAAAAGGTAAGTGCAGCTACATATTATGTTAAACTTAGGTTAGCTTTTCAGAAAAGTGATGATTTGAATGTAATTACTCGATTTCTTTTTTTTTTTTTTTACATGAACTATTTGTTAATTAAACTAAAAATTATTACCTTTTGAGAAGAAAGGATTGATATATTTATGGAATACCACTGAATTTAAAATATAACTATTTGAGATTTGAAGTGAAGTAAAAATATATAAGGTATTCTGAAATTAAAAATTGCCATTTTCAGATTCTTAGCCATACGGAAAACTGAAAGAAAATGTTTCGTTATGTCATTACATCTTGAATACATACTTTAAATTTGATTTATTTATTTTAATAAACAAAAGAGTACCTCAACATCCTTGAATTATCTGGTGTTGATCTAATATTCATATATTTTCCCAGCAATGGTCTAAAATATACTTAGTTTTTCAGAAGTAAGGTAAAATATTTCCAACGGTGACTTTCTGAGTGTTTTTGAGAAGAAGTGTTTTACGTAATAATTCTTATAATAGTTATTTTCTACTTTTATTTTTACTTCCACTTTTTATGTTTTCATTTTCCCCCAGATGTCGGAAGAAAAACAGAAAAATTATCTGGGTATCAGAATTTAATGAAGAAAACGAAAGCAACTGTAAAACTTAATAAACCGAAACTTTAAAATTACTCAAATTTTCCAAAATAAAGAGAATACCCAAGTTGACGCTATTTAGCATGTCTGTCTACCAGGTGTCCTCAGCTACCATTGAAAGTACTAAAGGAACCTGATAACCATAAAGAGTTAAATAGTGTTTTCACCAGGAAATTACCTTTAACTTCAATGCAGCCGGGGTGGAGGGGAAACAGAAGAAATACTAGGGACATCAATAATTTCTGCAGTAGATACGCATTTGCCTGTGCTTGATGGCTCCAGATTATGTCCAAGTCCATTATTGCTATCCCAAGTTCAAGCCTTAATAGAAAATGGTCCTGAATATTATGAAAAACCTGGTTTCCAGTTTCAGTTTCCCAAAAGACAAAAATGGACGTACATTTTTTAAGATGTACTTTTGTCAAATCTTGCCGAACAACAAAACAGTTAAAAGGGATTGGTTGCTAAATTCTGTTAAAAAGAATTCTGCTTATTATTTTTGTTGCAAAATTTGAAGCAGTTTCAGCAACATAAAATTGAGTAGTTCTGAATTTAATAACTGGAACAACTCAAATGAGCACTTAAAACTTCATGAAAAATATAAAATGCATTTCCGGAATCTATACCTTTGGTCCGATTTCTTAGAACAATTATGAAAAAATAAATCTGTTGATATGGAATTTCAAAATTTAATAAAGAAAAAAAAGAGACTAAGCATTGGCGTTGTGTTATTGAAAGAATTATCCATACCATTTAGCCAAATAAAACTTAGTCTCAAGTGGTTCTAGTAACAGGCACAGGCATCACGTATTTTCACGTTCAAATAAGACAGAAAAGAACACAAGAGACAAAGTCCTGCCCTGATTATAATCTTTCGGTCAAATAAGACAGTATGATATGAGGAAGGGGCCCTCAGACCTGAAAAGCTTGAGGCTGCACAGTTAAACCCCAAGAGGCTGCTAACCTATCGGCAGAGCCGACGAGTTAAGACTGAGTCGACAGGAATACTCAGCAACTCGTATTCCACGCCCCGTCCTGGACAGATGGTAAAAACATCTGCCATCAATACAGCTCCAACCCCGGACAGCAGAACGAAGTCACTTTAAAACTGCCAGACAGACCGGGCCATCAATCAGGCCAGTTAACACTACGTCATGGTATATACACATCAGCTTTAGGCACCCCCAGGGAAAAACCAAGGAATAATATGAATATGCAGTTTTGAGGCTCCATGCGCCTACTGGAAACCTCGAGCAGTTTAAAGGCTCACTGAATTCGCCAACTCCCCCGGCAGGGGTGTTTTGCCCTGGACAACTATGAATATCTGACTATATAGTTCCACCACAACCAACGGAATGGACAAGACAGTACCATATGGGCCCTGTCCATATTGAATCACCCATCACCAACGATGACTCCAGTCTTGTGAAGACTGATTTTAAACACCCGTGGCCAAGAGTGCCTAGGTACAGATTCTAATCAGTAGCTCCCCAGGTTTTACCCGACTTGACCCCCGGGGGTGCATTCAAATAAGACAAGAATTTTCCTGTTGAGACAGGCTGCGAGACGGATTGCTTATTTTAACCCTTAGCGTTTCGTAGGGTCCGCTGCGGAGCCGTCCGTCATTTGTTCCGTAACTCCGTAAGCTTTGCTGCGGAGCCCAGTGTTTTTAGCATTATTAGGCTTAAGATGTTGTGGAATCGTCGGCATTGGCAATTGTTATCTGTAGTTAAAACGTGCTCAGTCTTGCTACTGTTACGGTTGAAACATTATTTGACCCATTTTATAATTAGCAACATGGAGAAAAATAATTATTGTTATGAGAATATAGAGTCGAGTGATAGTGAAGATGTGTTTGATTTTTCATTGCTAGAAGATATTGTGGAAGACAATGTTGATTATAATTCTGACAGTTCAAGTAGTGGTTCCGAAATTATACTTATTGAAAGTGAAAGCAAAGAGTCAGCAGAAGGCTTAGATGAATGGCGCAATGTCATGGAAGAATTAGATATTTCAGATAGAATACATTTTAGTGTATCTCCAAAGGTCAATGGACCACAAATTCCTACAAATATTGTATAGCCGACACAATATTTCAAATTATTTTTCACAAATGAACTCTAAATGAAATTGTAAAAGAAACCAACAATTACGCAGAAAATGTTCTAAAGAATAAAGAAATATCTAGTAATTCTATTT